GTGGCCTAATTTAAATGCTCATCAAATATGCAGTGCACAGGTTTATCACACTATCCACATGTTTCATTGTTATAGCTTTGCATTTGGCACAAAATCAAAATGTATATGTTTATAGATTGTTTAACATCAAATATTGCGTCTGCTTGGATTCAGTGCTGCTAAAAACACATTTTTTGCTGTTGATCAACAACTATATAATTACATAAACCTTGTATTTTGTAACCCAAATAAAGATTGTGACAAACCAAGTAAATAAAGCAAATGAACACTTGCTTTCTGAAAAAAATAGTTAGATCCACTTATGTGCAATACAGAAATATGAAAGTTGCATAGAGACCTTCAGATGTAAAATGTTAAAGATGCCGACCCTTATTTTGTTGCAGCACCCAACAATGATCCAGACATTTCTCTCCATCGTCTCTCGATGAACACAATCACAGTAGTGAGCTGAATGGATACCGTGGGGAAAGTGGTTGAATTCTCTAAGAAATTAATGGTTTGTATCTTTAAAATAAATTATTTGATGAAAACCCCATTGTCTCACAGGGAGGTTGTTTGTCTGAAACAACAAAAATCAAATGTTACCAACTGTAAATTTCCCCCTTTGTGCACAGCCGAGATTGTTCAGAGCACTGCATCCTAAGGACATACAAGTTTACAGACAATATACATGCAGATAGACAATCCAACAGAAAAACAAGCAAGTGGGCAAAACTGTGATCATGTGGCTTAGATAAAGTTGATTTCAATTACAATAATAAATCACAGTTTATATTGTGATTTTCAGGTTACTTACATTCACACATACAACCTGTGTCTTGAATTTAAAAATTAATAGCAGGTACATCACCTACTAAATATTGTTTTGTAGGTACACTTGCACCTGTTCAAACTGAAAAACATCTCTTCATTTCTTTCTGCTTCAGTATACTCAATTCACTGGAAAAAACAACAAATGAATGAAAATGAAACACTATTTTGACCCAGGTCTTTTTAAAAGGCAGCTTTCAATATGACATAAGGAATGCTTCTGTACATTTGATTTGAAAAAGCAAGGTTTTGTGTTCAACACACTTACAAAGGGCAGTTTTGGGCTATTTGCATGTACAGTAACAGTTCTTAAAATATTCCAAATGTAATATTTGTTAATATTTTGAGTCAAAAATTGAATGAAAATTATATTTGCATGCAAGTGATCTTTTTCTTGTAGAGTGCATATACAGCGCACACATGTAAAAACAGTATAGCCTCACAATAACAACAGGCCAAAAAAGTTTAGGAAAAAAATTAAATGTGTCAAGAAATAACTGTCATTCTTCTGTACAAAATCAGCATGTGAATACTGCCCTTTGAGAATTTCAGTGTTCGTCCTTTATATAAAATCATGTCATCTATGCAACCTATTTACAAAGACTGAGTACTTTATACATACAACCCCTTGTATTGTACAATACTTACATCATGGTGTCCTTTAACCCCTCAATACAAAAAAAGTCTAGCATACCTCAAATGACCAGACATGATTACTCAAATAAAATGTCATAGCTGCAGGTAAAAGGGTTTTTGAAAAAGCAGTATGAAGAAGGAATCATCAAGAGGGTCTCCCTTTGTTTTTTGGTTTTTCATGGAAACATGTGCCATCTATCTGCTCTGTGAGCTGCTCTGAATTCTTCATCACAGTTACGGTATTGATGTCACATAAAATATGTACTACAGTGTCCACAACTCACTTTCATTATGTGTTATATAAATCAGAGTGTATGCAGTCAAAGAAACACATCAGTACGGTACAGTGTCTCCCTGTGGCTGCGGTAGGTGTCCTAACCAGAGAGCCTAACTGACTGACTGACTAAAGGATGGCGCAAGGTCGCTACTTTCCAGTCCTGTTGAACTTAATGTGCTCATTGCTGCCAATGAAGTCTCCAACATTACTGGCCTTGTGTCCAGCGTCCTGGAACAACACTGAAAATGCCAAGTCCATGTTTGGGTAAAAACAATCAAAGATATCTTCAAATGTCTTCGAGTTTCCTCTCTGCGGCTTCATGGCAACAGTTGCCCTACTTCTTAGCCAGCTGGAAAGGATGTTGACCCTTTAAACACATGTGTGAATACAGTTTCATTACTTCAAACCACAATCAAAAGAAATGGGACATTAAAATTTGTAATGTATAAAAGGGTTTTTTTTTAATCACGTGTCTGATGTCCACTGCATTTTCCAGACTTACTGGAGCTCCTCTACCTACCTTGTGTACCTCTTCCAGATTTCCCTAGACATTCATCTAGCTCTTATTTTAAGCCAAAACGTCTTTCGATCCTGCATCCTTTTTGGACAATGCCTAGAACCAACTGCACCTTATGGTATATTTTGATGTTTTTACGGAAGATGTTTGTGTACTGAGCTGGCACTGGGTGATATTAGGAAGCTCTTAACACTTAGTGAACATATGTGCAGTGTTAACACCTTGTGCTGCCTGCCCATTTTTTTGTTTGTTCCATTTCTGTTTTTGTCTTTTTCCACATCTCTTTGTAATATCCTGGCTGCTAATAGTCACCAAAAGGGCAACTAGAAGACGGCAGTAAAGAAGAAACACTGCATTGCACACTATAATCACATCATGCCAGTCTTAAAGCATTTCCATTAGCAGCCCGTTTATATTCAAGGCGCATTTTAAAGTTACTACCAGGTTACGCGCAGTGTCTTGCAATGGCCTCCCTGTAAGGTGCACTACCAGGGTGTTAGGCACAAGAACGTCAGCTCACTCAGAGCAACAGCTTTGGGTTGTTGGATCCCCAGTTCTAGTTCAGAATATCATGAATGTCATTTTTTTTTTATTATACTTCCATGGAGCTACCTCTCTGCTGGACTCTGGATTGCACTGGACATCAGCTGTGCATAAAAGTGTATTGATTACATTTTAAAGATGCTTAAGTCTTTGTGTTACTGTCCTCCAAACACAAATACTGTCTTCAATGTGATTTAAAACATTCAGCCAAAAGGGGTTTATTCAGTCCATGCTGTGAGGCACACACAAATTGAACTTGATATCAAAAAAGACATCTATAATTAATAAATGTCCCCTTGAACACAATCAGAATTTTAAATATTTCAAAACAAATCTGGAAGTAAGCATTTATGATAACTATGACCAGGTCCACCGGTGACTAAGACACAAGTTAATGTGAGGTACTGTGCAGCAACATAATGAATATTTTATTTCTGGATCCAACAACAATTTATCATGGCAATATCAAATTCAGGTAAGCAAAACACAAACAAAGCTTTGTCAAAGAGCAGCAGCATATAATGGAACAATCTCCACTCCAATCAGTCCATCCATTTCCTCAACACTGAGTCACTTGGTAAAGTTAATGAGGTTAGCTTAATGAGCACAGCTACAAATACTTGAGGATAAAATGTTCTACAGTTCTTTGTTTAGAAAACATCTATTAGCCTATTGTTCAAGAAGGTTACAGCTTTCTTCATAGATGGATGATACAATGTAATGATTCCAGCAGCATGCCTTCAAGGTGAACAGCAATATTTCCACCCAGGAAGTTGGACTGTTTACTGTGCCTCAGATTAGAAGACAGATGATCAGTTAATACAGAGCCTGACATAAAGCAGGAAGTGGCTGCCCGTTCAATGTGACAGAACTATTTACAAAGAATTGAAACCAGAAGGAATATACGAGAAGCTAACGCTGCTGTTTTAAGGGTGTTTCATGCTAGAACTTGTAAAGCTTCAAATGGTTAAGAGATCTTGGTTGACCCCCTCCTCCATGATACAAGTGTTGGGTTTAGACATGTTAACAGCATCAGTGATTTTCTGGAATACTTGATTTCTCATGAACAGTATAATACCAGACGTCAGAGACAGAATTTAAAGCTGTCCCCTAATAACTGATTGACACGCTAGTGGAAACGATGCCTGTTTAATTAGCACTACCATTAAAACCCATGCCACTCAAGCCTTAATTTGTTTTATTTTATATACTTCTTTAGAACATACACAGTATATCTATTCACTAAGCATTAGCATACAGTTCAGGTTTTGTTATTTTTGTTTTCAAACTGAGGCCTTGAATTGATTTTAGTGACAAAGAAACCACCCTAAATAATTAGGGGGCTGTGGTGGCCAAATTATCAGTCTGGCTCTAGTAGCAATCCACGTCTATTGGATCCCTTGGACTTGCTATAGCACATACTGCAATGCTAATCATTTATTGCTGCCAATATACAGTGCAATTAATCATTTTAAGTGAAGTGTGTGTATATGTTAGTTGATGTATAGTTGAATAGTTCTACGTCTGAACCACTGAATAACCTTTGTAAACAATGTACAGTTATTATTAAATTATATGCAAAATGTTACTATTATGATTTTATTATAACCAGGTGAATATTATCAGTACTCTATCTGAAGTAATTACTCTATCGGTTTTTGTCTATCTATACCAAACCTCATGTCAATCTGCCCATTATTTATTAAAATGTCTTGTTCTGGACCAAAGTGCTTGGATGGACTAATGGGCCAGCGCTACTTGTTACTCTGGTGCCAGCCCTAAATCTTATCTTTTAGACCTGCATTTTCATCAGTACGATATGAGCACATGACTAAAAACTCCAGGTGCAGCCTTCAAACACCTTTCTGTCACTCTGTGAACATTTAGTAAAATTGAAGTTAGTGTATATGCAGTGCTTGTATGTTTTTAACATTTCACAAAGAGGAGAGTTTAAGTACGACCTTCTAAATGCCAACACATAATCCAGCCCCACAACTCAGTGCAGCATGGTCTATTAAAACAACATAACACAACATTAAAGCAATAAGTTAATAAGCTCATCCACTTCACATTATGCACAAATATCATGCATATGTAGCCATATTATATTTTTAACTTATCCAATAAATTTAAAATAATGCATAGATATAAAATCCAATACATAAACACTATAATACGTATTAAAAATAAACAAATCTATGCAAAATGTCTGCCACATCTTTTTTAGAATTTTATTTTTTTTTGTCAACATATAACAGATTAGGAAAAAGTAAAAAAATAAATATCCTATGTACAATCAGTCAAGACGTTCCAAAGTTATCGTCACTGCAAAGAAAAAGCAAAATGCAAGACACCAAATGTTAGTTCAAACAATGTTCATGGTGAAGTTTGCATACACTATGTGAGCTGTTACAGCAATGAGCAACAAAACAAGACAGCACCAAACTCTCCAACTTACTTTATTCCAACATCCTGGTACAGGTAAGCCATCGTCCCCCTGGTTAAAACAAACAAACAAACAAGAAGTGAAGTGAAACATAATGCACAGTGCAGACTTTAACAGTATTTTAATGTATGTGTGAAGCAACAAAGCAAAACAATTATACAGTTATATAAATTTTACAGTTTAAAAAACATTTGAATGTACTTTTTAAAACAGCAAAGTGAAAAGAATTAATTATTTTGGCCATTTAGGATAGTGGACATAAACGTCAGGTTCTATTTCTGCATGTGTGCATTCAGGTCTGTGCCTGAATCAGAATTTTCCAAGTCCAAACACATTTTCCCAGCTACTGTATGTGCCAGCAGTCCCATCTTTCAGTTATCTAGACAGAATTTTAGATTTTAGATATACTCATTATCACTAATGATAAACAGCATCAGTTCATCTTATCTAGAATCAGGGTTGTAGCTATGACTATAGACATGGACAGTGGACAAAGTCATGATGTTCTTGATTATACTTTCTTTTTCAGTGTTGACTGCAAAATGTGATGGTGCAACAGGTTAAACAGCTCAATCATCTTCTAAACAATAGATATTTTGGGGCAGCGGCATATGGTTAACTGAAACTAATCAGATCAATTATGTTGTTATCTGTTTTTTACATTATCCTTGAACTTTTTTTCATGGACAAAAAATGTAATACAACCCCAAATCAGAAAATGTTGGGACAGTGTGTACATCATCTGTGTCCTGTATGACATTGAAAACAACACAGCAGCACATTATTTGATGTGAAACCATCAGTTTTATTCTTTGTTCAAAATAAACACTCACTTCAATCCTGATGCCTGCAACACATTCCAGACAAAGTTGGGACAGTAAAGCGTTTACCACGGTGTGATGCTGCCGTTCCTTTTCACAACACTTAAAAGCCGTTTAGGGACTGAGGACACCAAGTGATTCAATGTGTCAGGTGTCATTTTGTCCCATTCTTCCTGCAAACAGGTCTTAAGGTCCACAACAGTCCTGGGTCTTCATTGACATGATCTACGTTTCAACATGTACCAAACATTCTCTACTGGGGACAGGTGGGGACTGCAGACAGGCCAGTCCAGCACTCACAGCCTTTTCCTCCACAACCAGGCCTTGGTAATGTGGCAGGATGAGGTTCAGCATTGTCTTGTTGAAGTATGCATGGGTGTCCGTGGAAAAGATGTTGTCTTGAAGGCAGCATATGTTGCTCCAACATCTCTCTGTATCGTTCATCATTAATGGAGCCATCACAGAAGTGTAAGTGACCTTTGCCAAGGGCACTGACACAACCTCAGACCATGATAAACCCTGGCTTTTGGACTTGTTGCTGGGAACAGTCTGGATGGTCCTTTTTGTCTTTGGTCCAGAGCACATGGTGTCCATTCCTTCCAAAAAAGACCTGAAATACTGATTCATTTGACCACAGTACACATTTCCACTGTGTAATGGTCCATGCAAGAGCAGTCGACTTCTAGACATTGTTGACATAGGGCTTCCTTTTGGCACAGTACAGTTTAAGCAGCATTTATAGATGTAACTACATATTGTAGTGCCTGACACGGGTGTGCCAAAATCATCCTGAGCCCATGTGGTTATATCGCTTATAGAAGAGTGGCGATCCTTGATGCAGTGCCGTCTGAGGGATTGGAGAGCTCAGTCATCCAGCTTAGGCTCGGCCCTCAGCCTTTACGCACTGAAATCCCTCCAGATTCCCTGAATCATTTAATGATGTTCTGCACCGTAGGGGGAAACCACCAATCACTGTTAATTTGTATAAGAGCTTTACAACAATCAACAGATTGACCAAAGTGCTTCACAATCAATAGCATTAATAAACTTAACATAGACGACATACAGACAGACCACAGGAACCCACAGCAATAGAACAGTAATCGGAGTGTCAATAAACTACTGGGAACTGAGTGCTAATTTAAAAAGATACATTTTTAATTCTGATTTAAAGGAGACCACATCTGATATTAAGTGCAGTTCAAGAGGCAAACTGTTCCACAACCTGGGAGCAGCAACTGCAAAGGCTCAGTCTACCACCTATTATATCTAGTCCTCAGGACCTCCAATTTTCATGATTCTGCACAGTCCACTTCCTGTATCATGCTCTTGTTCTGTCCCCAGCTCACCCTGATTCTCGGGAACCTTACCTCATCACTCACATTGGTTTCACCTGCTTCTCAATTACCCACACCTGCTGACAACAGTATATAGCAGCTTCTCACCCTGTGGGAAGCTGCCAGATTGTTCTATGCATTGTCTAGACTCTCAAGCCGTTTCTTCCCTAGTGCTTGCTTATTCTGATATCGAGACCCTGCCTGTACTACCGACCAGAGATTCTGCCTTGCCCTCCCTGTTGCCCTGCTGTAGACCTCGACCGTAGACTGAAGCAAGTACTGCTCTCTCTGCCTGATCCCTCAATACTGGTTACTGTTCCAGTCTGACTCTGTTTCTCCCACACCTGAGCTCCCCAAGAACAACAATAAACTCTGTTCTACTGCCTCAGACTACTGGCTTTTTAATTGGGTTCACACCTACACATTCAAGGAAGCTTCTCACACTGCTCCCTGACACCAATAAGTCCACATAAGCTGATCTGAGAGATCTAGGAAACCTATGGGTGCTTAAAAGTTCGGCAAGGTAGAGAGGAGTGAGTCTATTTAGTCCCTTGAAAACAAACATCAACAGTTTAAAATTGATCCTAAAATGGACAGGGAGCCAGTGAAGAGAACATAGAGCTGGGGTGATATATTCACACTTCAATGTATGCATTAAAAGGCAATCAGCTGCATTTTTGAGCCAGTTGGAGGAAAAAAATTGACTGACTGAGACCTACATACAGCACATTACAATAATCAAGCCTGGAGCTAATAATGTTGTTTTGGAACAACACTGATAAACACTCAATGTCTCCATTCTCCCTCGAGATCACCTCTGGCAGAGCTTCAACCAGATCCCGAGGGAGACTGGAGACATTGAGTCCGAATGGACCATGTTCTCCACCTCTATTTCCGATTTGGCTACTCGGAGCTACGGCCGGAAGGTCTCTGGTGCCTGTCGTGGTGGCAATCCCCAAACCCAGTGGTGGACACCAGAAGTAAGGGATGCTGTCAAGCTGAAGAAGGAGTCCTTTTGAGCTTGGTTGGCTCGTGGGACTCCTGAGGCAGCTGACGGGTACCAAGCGGACGGCAGCTCAGGTGGTTGTGGAGGCAAAAACTTGGGTCTGGGAGAAGTTCGGTGAGGCCATGGAGAGGGACTATCGGTCAGCCTCAAAGAAATTCTGGCAAACCATCCAGCGCCTCAGGAAGGGGAAGCAGTGCCCTGCCAAAACTGTTTACAGTGGAGGTGGGCAGTTGTTGACCTCGACTGGGATCATCGTCAGACGGTGGAAGAAATACTTTGAGGAGCTCCTCAACCCCAGCGTTATGTCTTCCGACGAGGAAGCAGAAGCTGGGGGCTCGGAGGTGGACTCGTCCATCACCCAAGCTGAGGTCACCAAGGTAGTTGAGAAGCTTCTCAGTGGCAAGCCACCGGAGTGGATGAGATCTGCCCTGAGTACTTCAAGTCTCTGGATGTTGTGGGGCTGTCTTAACTGCAATTCAAAGCTCATAAAACAGTCTGAGGAGACCTATCGACAAATATAATTGTCTTTAAACATCACAGCTGGCCCTCCATCCCGACCTGACGTACGGGGAGAGCTGAAAAATAAGCAGCCAAAGAGAGAAGCTACAAAACAGCACTGCCAGCCTTAATCTTCACCAAGAGTCCTCCTCTGCTACCACGCCAACTCTTTGCTTGGTACGGGAGGGAAACCGGGGTGAATGCCAGAGGCATGGTGGTACAGATTGTAAACACGGTGATACGTCTCCTGAGCTCGATTTGGAATTAAAAACATCTATTTTTATATAGATAAGCGAATACTAACGAGAGTTGATCAATTATACACCAGTAGAGCTGATGCATTCAATATAAAGAAAGATGTTAACAGAGTAAAAAACAAAACATCCAGTAGTAATAGATGGCTGGCCACATGCAGCTGTGCCATCTTCTTGCATTTGATGCTGGACCCATGCTGCACATGTCCAAATCCCTTCCTGTCTTTCTTTGAGGAACATTGTTTTTAAACATTTCAATAATTTTCTCATTAATATGTTGTCAAACTGGTGGTCCTCGGCCCATCTTTGCTCCTAAAGGGCACAGCCTTTCCTGGATGCCACTGTTGTACCAAATCATGATGCAGTCTCCTGTTGACATCACCTGTTTCAAATGGGATAATCATTTCATTGTTTTACCTCGTTACTGGCCCTGAAATGTAACCGACCCAACTTTGTTTGGAATGTGTTGCAGTATCAGGTTGAAGTGAGTATTTATTGTGAACAAAGAATAAAGTTGATGAGGTGTCACATCAAATAATGTGCTGCTGTATTGTTTTCAATGTAATAGAGGACACAGATGATTTAGACATCACTATTTTTACATACCGTCCCAACTTTTTCAGATTTGGGGTTGTACATTTCATCATAGTACCTTCTATGTAATTTTTTCTTGTTTTCATTATCACTGAATATATTTTTGTTATACTTGGTGATATTAACACTGGAATGGAAAAAAGGTATAATCATTCAGTATTTTAAATCAATTCACTTGCAGATTTAGGGTCACATACTGTAGGATGAATTTGGCTAATATGGCAATGTGGCACAGAGTTTTATTCACAATTGCAAAGAGAAAGCCTTCTAAGTTTGCCATTGCTCTAAACTGAGACCCTGTCTGGCCTTTGCCCCATAGTTACAGTCATGAATATTGCTGTACTGTTGCAGCTATTTGCAACAACAAACTCAGAGAAGAGAAACTTGATTTTACTGTTTATCAAATTATCCAGGAGAGTACCATGTTTCTAAGGTAAGAAACATAAAATTTATCATAAAAAATGCTGCGGCGGTTTAAAATTATTTCCAGAACCAGAGGATCCCCCAACTTCTCTATACTGTATTTTAAACTAAGAACTTATACCGTAATGTTGAGTGTATTTACAATAAACAAATGGGACCATAACCAAGACAGAGATCGTCTTACATTGTGGCACTGATTTGGCAGTAAATTTGTCAAAAGAGATTTCTGTATGACTCAGCAATGTTGCTTTATGTCACTGTTGTTCCAGTGCTAGCTGACGTTTTACAGTTTCTGGGAAAGACAGATTCAGAGAAGAACAATAGACCAATGGGAAAATCATATCTAACATGATTATTTTTATCAGTGAAGATAAGTGCTACCTTTAAATGGTGTTTAAAGACACAGTAGTGTTTGCAATATTTTCCAACATGATCTAACTTATTTCTAAATATATGCAGAGGTTGCATGCTTAAATTACAAAGATAATGTATATTGATGTGCTAAAATTCTGATTTGTAGTCAAGGCACTTATGTCTCTTAAAAATTACAATTGTATACAACACATTTGCAACAGAAAACAATTTAGTAATGGACAAATGTAATTTTTAGGAGACAGGAATGTACCTAAAATCCATTAGCCTTGCAAAGTCAGACAACCTCTCACAAACTCCATTTTTGATATGAATTTGGAGACATCGTTGGACAAAAAAGTAAACTCTAGAGAGTTTTTAGATAATGACAGGACTGAGCTGTCACTGACCTGAAACTTGCAATTAGTATCACCTTTTGAGGGTGTACCAGTTTAATTCTACAAACTCAGACACAGAACAGTGAGGAAAACAAGAGAAAATGGAGCAATGAGTTGCTTTACTAAACCTTTGAAAGAAAATCAAGATTCGTGGGCTGGTTTTGTTACGCTAAAATTCTACACAGGAAATATAAATCATGAACCACGGTGTAGTAATGCCCTCCAAACTAATACCAGCAGGACTCTGCCTTAATTCATGTCGTTTCTACGGCTTTTCACTACCTGTGGTACACTGGTACCACTGTTTTGAAAATGGTATAAATGGGTGCTCCATGCAGTAGAGGGTGTAAGAAACAAGGGATTAAGAAGAAAAGCTCTAGTATACTTAACTTAATTTCAAAGATGTAAATTAGAAATTATTTCTGGTTATGTAGTTGTGATATATTGTGATTACTCACAAGCATAATGCAGAGGCTGAAGTTAACAGAAAGTTTTAGTAGTTTTAATGGAAATGTTGAGTGAAAAGAGTTCTCAGAGGGAACGCATCATTCATGTCAGTTCTACTTGGGTTCAGATGGAAAAGTTCTGGCTTATTAGCAGATGAGTCAACAACATTAAGTAGATTTAAATGTCCATGCAAACATGCATGTGTTTGTGAATTTACACAATCGCAGTGTCCCTAGTTAGGGGTGTGGTTAGTGATAGCTAGACACATGCTGGGAAAAGTGAAGGGAAAGAAAGAGCACCATACCACAGGACAGGGGGCATCCAGCCCGTCCAGGCCTGGCAAGCCCGGTTCACCTTTCTCCCCTTTAAAGCCTCGGAATCCCTGTTTGTGAAATTAACCAATGAAAAAAGGTGTTTTGTATCCCTTGTGCAGTAGAGGAAAGTTGGACCAGCGCTGCTGGAGAGCACGAGGTTTCCACTTCTGTCCACTGGGTGACTGGACGCAGGTTTCCTAAACATGCATGCAACCTGGGACTGACAGGAATTGGGCTCACTGAGATGAGTTTGAAAGGTTGTAAATCTTTCAGGAATAGAAAATGATGAAAATTTGTTTCAGTGATAACAAAGTAGAGGTCAGTTCACTACAGAAATGAATTTGATGTGGAGTTCTGCGACCAATTCAAAGAATCCTGATAAAGTTTTGGATTAAGTTCATGTTAGGTCGTGTTGGGACTTAAATGCTTTGATACAGTATCTGTTGATGCTGCCTAGTTCCTGTCCATCTCGGTCCTGGAAAAAAAGAGGTCCCTCAGGTAGAGTTGAGGTCCGTGGTCCAGCAAAGTAAATTTACCCCTGATAAATCTTTTTTTTTAATGTTTTTTGCAACATTTTCTTTGCTTTAATAAACTTTTTAGTAGATCAAATTTAAGAGTTAATGAATTCAGCCACATATCCCCTGATATCAGAAAGGCTGCAGTGGACAACTGGACCAAACCCTCCCTGAAGTTGATTAGAAAAACTGAATACCAGAGCCAAATGGAAGCTGAATACAAATCTTTAGAGAAACTGAAGCTCAATGAGATTATGTTTAATTCTAAAATAGAGGTCCTTCCATTTGCCTCTTGGCTACACAGTGGACTACAGACATACCAACGGACAGGGGGCATCTAATCCAGGTGCTCCTTGGTCTCCCTTATCCCCTTTGGCCCCCCTGTTGCCTTTCTTGCCCCTCTCTCCCTGCAAACAACAGCGTATTGGAAAAACTTTAGTCCTCCCCATTAAGCCACATACAGCATGAAGTAAATCTTTATTTTTTGTGAGACTCCTGTCAAGTGTCCTTACATATATGTACTGCTATTTATACATTACAAAAAATAAGTTATTTTAAATAACCACAGTGTTCGGGTTGCCTTTTGCTATTTTCAAAAGATATGATAGTTTAATGTACATTTAGTAGAAAGAGAAGGTAAGTAGAGTGAGTTAGGGGAGATGGATTAAAACCAGTTGTTGAGCAGGTTTCAAGCATTTTGCCAAGGACTATCTATAAGCTACTGTACTGTAAAGTAGCTTTTGGAAGACTTGTTTGAGAGATGTCAGAAGGCTAAGTATGAAGGTTGTTGCATGCACTCTGAGGTTTTCATTTTATCATGGAATATAACCTGCTGAAAGAAACACTAAATATGAAAATGAGCAACAATTCCCAAACCTTGACAAGTACTTTAGTTTTTTTTTTTTTTTTTACCAGCTATGAGCCTAACCTAACCTTAACCAATTAGTTTTTGCACTCAAATCTAGGGTTTAGGCTTTAGCCATTCCTGATCTGATGCCCATAGTGGTATCAGATCAGGAAACAGTCTTGACACATTTTTAGCAATAATTTTTAAGAGTTTTGGAAGGCACTGAGAAATGTGATAATCCTGTTAATGGTAACATCAAATGAATGGCACTGATGTGAGATCACTGTGACCTTGACCCTTGATTGCCAAAACCTAATCAGTACATCCTGAGTCCAAGAGGACATTTGTGCTAAATTTTAAGAAATTCCCTGAAAGCATTCCTGAGATATCACTTTCACCGGAATGGGATGGCTATCACTGGCTCAAAGGCATAAAAAGCTGTGGCAAGTCCGATGAATTGATTTGATGTCACTTGAGTCAGCGGGTATATCCCAAGTCTCTTATACTGTATGATCATTTCTACATTTGTTCTCTTATGTTGGCTGTGAGGACAAGGAGACTGCTGGAAGAGCCATGAGCAAAGATACACAAAAGACATAATTAATGACATGAGACTCCCCTTTACTTCGATCCTTCATCTGAAGCATCCAATAAATGGGCATCTCAGTTCATAAAAACCTCTGCAGGATGGCCTTGTGCACCTCGCTCATGGCTCCTCCAGCAGTCTCCTCAATTCCATTGCTTCAGAACTGATACAAAAGACTTGGAATGCCCTTGGCCCTCAGGTGACCATAATGACTTCCAGGTCAACCGAGGACCAAGGATGCAGGAAGGATCATATAAGAGACCTGGGATGTAACGTCTGACTGAACTGTTGGCAATCAAGTTGCATTGTGGATAATGTAGGCAACAGAATTTCAACAGATTTCACAAGAAAGAAGAATCTATTTTGTTTAATTGTTTAATCTGAGTAGCAATTTTATAAGAATTGGTGGAGTACTATACATTTAGAGTACTTGGTAAGACTTTCCTACAGGTTGAAAATTTGATTTGATTTGATTTATTGAAAATTGAAAATTAAATGAAAATTGTATTAACAGAATACCTGCTCACCAATGTCAAAGGCTGCAAGGGATCAAATAAAAAAAATGACAGCATTATGTAGCCTATAGGGAATAGATTATGACAAGAAGAATAACATGCTTCCTCATGTTCTCCTGGTGCTGTGTTAGCATCACCTGTGCAACTGGGATCTCATAATTTAGAGTTTCTTTGGATTTAAGGCTCCTGTCTCAATTGGTTCTAATGCAATGCTGAGCTGTGAGTGTTACTAACATGTAGCAGCAGCAGAGGGCCTCATTCAGAGACAAGAGAGAGACTGAGGTAGGTTCGTGCAGTTGCTCTACGTGACATGAAGTGTTTTGTTATGCAGTTTTGCCGTTCTGTGACCGAACTGTTGTGCCTTTTGGGAAAATATGACACCCACTGAAGGAGCTTTAGTAGTTTGCAAATCATGATAAGACTACAGACATGACAAATGAGTTACAGTATCTGCACTTATTGTAAAGGTGCAGGCTGTGTGTTGAAAGGTTCAGTCTGATTGCTGTGTGGAATCTCACCTAGCTCCAACAAATTAAACTGTCTTAAAAACGATTAATCTCATTAGAAACATGTACTTCAGTGTGCCTGCATCTAAATATAGCAAACATTTTGACAGTGGTAGGAGAGCAATGCTTGCCAGTTTTGGGTATGGTCAGAGGAACAGGGGTTGAAAGGGTGACATGAAGGTCTGCAAGGGAGAGATAATGTTAAGCAGGAGTGGGAGGAGTAAAACGGAGGTATAAGAGGAGGAAGATCAACCCAGGAGTACATTAGAATGCAGGAGAAGGAGCAGGAGGCCAAGAGTTGTGAGAGGGAGAGAGGGCAACTTGGCAATAAAAAGAGCCACGGGCCACAGAGCAAGGTGGAGGGAAGGTAAAGGGAATAGGAAGACCTGCGGAAACAAAGGAACATAGGACAAAGAGTAAAAACACCAAGACTACCCAAAAGCTTTGTCTTCAACACCTTCAACTGGACAGTTACCTTAGTCTGTTTGTCATATGTGTATTCTTCTTGTTTCTGTTGCGGTAAATAAAAAATATTGTTTCCTTTAATTTAAGGCCAGTTGAATGTGCTGAAAGAGATTATGTAATGTAAAGACTTAAAAAAAGATGGGAGTGGAAATATTAAAACAGTCACAGGTTAATGGGAAGGAAATAGAAACATTCTTTTAGAAGAAGGGTATGTGAAAATTAAAGGTTACAGCGAGTGTCTCTCTGATTCGCTGTAATCTTTAGATGAAAGGCAATTTTATATACTGTAGTATTACTAATTAAAGTTTCAAAGCTTACTATTATTGTCTCAAACTAAGGAAACTGGTGCATACAACCAAACATCACTTGTCAGGGCTGTTTTGATATTAAGTGTCAATTTTAAAATGGTATAATATTTTGGAAAAGATGCTTATTTGCTTTATTTCCAAGAGTAAAAAGCTGGATATCAATCATTTGTGTGTGTTGGGTCATTCCATGGAAACTGTTCAATATTTATGCTGTTCTATTAAGTAACATCACTAAGAGAAAATGACATTATTTAAGGGTTTAAGAAAAAAATCAAATGCTGGTGAGATTGGATTATCTTTCCGAACCTTTCAAAACCTTCCATGTCAAACATATCATTTTCACTCAAAAAACTTGGGGAAAACAATGTTTATTGAAATTGGTGGCGCAGTGGTTAGCACTGTTGCCTCATAGTGAGAAGGTTCTGGGTTCGGGCCCCACCTGGGACCTTTCTGTGTGGAGTTTGCATGTTCTCCCTGTGCTTGCGTCGGTTCTTTCCGGTTACTCCAGCTTCCTCTCGCAGTCCAAAGACATGTGGCTTAGGTTGATTGGTGTCTCTAAATTGTGCGTGGTTGTTTGTCTCTGTGTTAGCCCTGTGATGGATTAGTGACTTGTCCAGGGTGTACCCTGCCTTTGCCCGATTGCCGGCTGGGATTGGCTCCCGTGACCCCGTTCAGGGACTAAGCGGTAGAAAATGAATGGATTTGTATAAAAACATGAATTTTTCACAAGTGTGGTGTTAACTTTGACCACAGAGAGAATTTTGTCCATATTTGGCTGTTCCTGCCCCGTCACTGAACTGGTTCACATAATGTACTGAGGTAGAACAAACCAGCTCTGATATCTTGATAAAACAAATGGGGTGGCTGTGGCTCACCAGGTAGGGCAGTCGTCTCCTGACCAGCAAGTTGGTGGTTCGACTCCTGGTCTCCCTGCATGCCTAAGTGTCCCTAAGCAAGACACTGAACCCCAAATTGTCATTGTGAATGTTGTATCATCTCCTGTAAAGCGCTTTGGCCAGTGCAACACGCTTGCAAACTATGTTTTATTGTAGCACCAGCATATCCTTCATATTATTTAAACAAACATTTTTATGTTCGATTAAAAATATTAAAATTCCAAGGTTCAATCTGTACAGTTTCCATGGAATTAGTTAAGTACAGAGCTGGAGTCAGAATGTGGCTAGCCTAGCTTAGCATTAAGGCTGGAAGTAGGTGAAAACGACTATTCTGGCTCTAGCAAAAGTTTATCCATATGTCCAGTACTTCTGCACAGCATCTCTGGCTATAGTGCAGGTCATTGGATGTGGTCACTGAAAAGAGGTTTTGGTCACAGGCCAGCTGTTGCTCAACAGTGCATAGTTCCAGTAAATAATTGTCCCTAAAACCACACACTGTCATTTGTACAATTGAGTATGGATTATACAAACAAGATACAACATGTTAATTAGTGCATCTTAGTGATGGTGGCAAACGTACATTTGAAATTTGAACAGACCCAGGTTGTGTTAGCAAACAGTGGCCTATTTATACATCAAGTGGAACAACATTAGCATTCATTCAGTGGCGTTTCTGGCCATCTGATGAATCAAAGTCCAGTCTTTCCTCTCACTTTAGCTGTGGTTTGATCTCCACCGACTCCTGAAAAAAATAGCTGGCTCTTTATCTTCGCTTTGTTCACCATCTAGTTTAGTACAAGGTTGCTGGCTGTTGGTTTATCAGAGCTTTTTCAGTGTAGATAGATAGGTCTGGGAAATAATGCCTTGAGGCCACTGACACCAGACAACGGAGCAACAATTTTCAACCTTTACATATACTGAGTCACCCTATTGTTGTAAACATTTTAACTGTAGTTTTGTTTTTTTTGTTTTTGACACACAGACAGACTGATATCCATCTCTCAGTTTCAAGTCTAAAGTGAACCTACATTATGATGTCACATAAAAAATAACAAAACAGGGGAAGTGCTTGAGATGAATGGTTGTCTCCAAGTTGTCACCATGAATCATTTTTACATTTTTTTAAATTAAAATCTTGTTGGCATATTATCAATAATTATTCATGCCTATTGATCCCTATAAGTTTGTTCTGAAGTGCAACACTGACACTCAGATTCAACAATAATCCACTGTAAAAAATAAATCAATAAAAACAAAGTCAAAAAATGACATCTTGATGTGAGTTTTTCAAAATCAAAGCAAATGATCTAACTCATTTGGTTTTCTTTTAATGTGTGATATCAAAGAGATATAATGATATTCAGCTTTTTAATTCACATTTCTTCTTTGAAAGCATCTTTGAAGTCATCACAGCTTTGCCAATTATGGCCCCACAAGGCAGTTGCATCAGTAATAGTAGGGGTTAAATAATCCTGTGCATGTAAATGCCAGCCTGTCCTGAAATATAACTCACAGAGATTGACAAAATGTTTAGTTTAGTTATTGAATATAATGAGTAAATGCATAGAAGTGACCTGCTCTGTGTATATTCCACAAAGAAAATCCAATGTGTGTCCATTAGCCAAAGTCATGTCCCTGCTTGCACTATCATTAAAACAAATAACACAGGAGTAGTATCTTACCCGGTTCCCTTTGAGTCCTTGTGGTCCTACCAAGCCCTGTAAAAACAAATGAATAATTTCAGTGAGTCAGAGAAAAGCTGCTTTGTCCAGGAATAACGCCAAACCTGGCTGAACTTTTGCCACAATGCAAAGAGATGTCAGCAACAACCTGCCCTGGCCTGTCACATACACTATGTACAAGCACACATTCCCAGTAGATCGCAATAATACTACTGTTTACTTCATGATTTTCTAGACAGAGGACATAGTTAAGTCTCTTTTAAATGTTTATCATTAATTCGTTTAATCATTTGGTGCATGTGCTTTTCTCACATGCACCATTTTATTAGTGGTGGCCAAAGTTTTCTAAGTTGACTCAACACTAAGCAGTAGCAAAACAGATCTGGATTCACAAGTTTGTGCATTAATGCATCATTCTGACAGACTTTTCAATCAATCTGCACTTTACTGCATGCAAACCTTTGACAGAAAGAAACAGACAAAATAAACCAATTTTGAAAGGCCTCTTGGAAAATGCCCGCAGAATGTCAGCTGTGTTTTGATTGGTTGTCAAACTTAAAAATGGCAGTTCTTATTTAATATGTGTGTATGGTAATTACATACTCTAAACCAACCAACCAAATACCAGAGGTGTGGGACTTGAGTTACATGACTTGACTCGAGTCAGACTTAAGTCGCAAATCTGAGGACTTGAGACTTGCTTGAGTGACACTGGTAAAAACCTCGACTTGACTTCGATTTACTGTTCCTGACTTGAGACTTCAATTAGATGAGAGAGAGCTGACTCAAAATTTCTTCAAATTAAATACACTGCTCAAAAAAATAAAGGGAACACAAGGGAAAATAAGCCATTCAACTATGTAATGAACAAGGTATTTAATAAGAATATTTCATTCATTCAGATCTAGGATGTCTTATGTTGTGTTCCCTTTATTTTTTTGAGCAGTATATTTGCATGTTTCTAGATACAGTGCAACCTTGGATTGTGAGTATAATTCATTCCGGCAATATGCTCGTAATCCAAAGCACTCATATATCAAAGCGAATTTCCCCATATGAAATAATGGACACTCAGATGATTCGTTCCACACCCACTTATCCATATAAAAATGTTTATAGTAATACAAAATAGAGTATAAAGTAAAAATAAAACGAATTAACCTGCACTTTACCTTTGAAAAGAATCGTGGCTGGCGTGAGGGGCCATTGTTGCAGTACAGATATTGACTATACGAGTGAAGCGTGAGAATGATTGGCTCAGTTGTGACATGCATCACATGACGCTCGGCAGACAAAGTGTATGTACTACTTGTATTGCGAGACCTCACTGGTATATCGAATCAAAATGTTTGCTCATCTTGCAAAACACTTGCAAACCGGGTTACTCGCAATCCAAGGTTCCACTGTATTGAGATGTTATCTTTTGTTTTTGAAGCAAAATTTGGTGATTTCTACTGCAATGCATGCACACCTGGCAACCTGCCAGAACACAGCAGCGATCACTGTTTTTTAGCTGATTTAAATATGGTGACAGGGTTAGATCAGCAGAATTTTGGATGACTTGACTTGTGACTTGCTTAACTAATAGTTGAGGTTTGACTTGCTTGCTAGTGCAGTAACTTGGGACTTGTTAGAGACTTGAAGCTTACGACTTGCTTGTGACTTTGGGGGAGAAAGCTGTTTCCCAAAATGTCAAACAGTTGCTTTAGAAGTTTGTATGAATCACCTCTCATGGATTTGAGGCTTTGTGACTGACAATGCTGTTATGGTACACCAGATCTCTGTTAGTAACACTAAATGTTAATTTATTCAAAGGCATCACTTAAATTTAAGCAGGATAATAATATTTTCAAAGGAGAATTTTACCATGTGATTTTCTTGCTTTAGTTTTTAAATTATACAAGCATAAACAACTCAAATGCTTCCAGTTTCCAATTTTCTTTCATTTGATTTACAGTTAATTTGATGATGCTGGATTTTGGCAGACTTTGGCCACTCTGCAGGCTTCACCTCAGCATCAGTATTGGCATCAGACTTTTATCATGTCTCCAGGGTCTCCAGCCTCTATTAAAACATTCCCCTCATAATAAACATGCCGCTTTCAATGATAAAAGATGCCCCCTGTTGTGATGAATATTAAAAAGTAATTTCAGACTTACAGGGATGCCCTGAGGCCCAGTTGGTCCTGGTAATCCTGCGTCTCCCTTTTCACCCTGTAGTGATGAAAGAAAATACAATATGTATATTCTAAAACTATGAATATACTAAGAATAAAAACAGAAAAAAACACAGAGAGAGAGGCACTCACTCGCTCTCCTTTTGGTCCTGCTGGCCCCGGCAATCCTGCTGGTCCTATTAGACCCTTTAAAACAGAAAAGGGAATATGATTACCAGTCAACAGATACGAGATACTACTAGAGAAAACACCAATATTAAATCAGTAAATCAACAAGCTGTCAGGTGGACATGAAAAAAGAATATGGTCATGGACTATTTAGACCAGTTTGATGACTAATGTGGTGTGACAGAAAGGACTGACATAGGGTTCTGTCCTGACATGTAGCAGTAACACACCGAGCTTGTTGAACTACTGTCAAAACCAATAAAAAAAAAGGGAAAATGAATCAGATGTCAGCAGCTGCATTTCTGTGTCTGAGCAGCACTGAGGCTTGGAGAGAAAGACTTTGCATCTCAGTCATATCTATTATGTATAGCTGTCCATTCTACGTGTATGATATCTAAACATGCAGCATGGGCACCTCTGCATGCTCCTTTCGGCAGCTTTACAGCCTGCTGTTGGTACAGATCAGGAGGCAGGAAACTGTGGAGGCAGAAATGAGGACTGAGGATTTACACTGTTACTATGTCCAAAATCAGACGTGATGGAAGCAGGACTGGGCAATGCTCCAGGTAGCAGCGGGAGATTATGAAGAGATTTAAATAAATCCAGTCTTTTCTACTTTTTCTTCTTTTTTGATTGGTGTACTGACAATGAAACTCATTATTCCTAAAGATGTTTCACATTAAAAGTCTGTTTTCCTATTTACCCTAGGAATGTTTTTATGCCTCTACACTGGCCTTAGCATTATGTTTTCAGGTTGCCTGTCTGCACACCTGGCCCATTCTTATGAATGCAATATGTCATGAACGCCTTGAGGGAATTTCTTCAAATTTGGCACAAGTATCCATTTGGACTCAAGGATAAAGTGATCAGAGTTTGGTGGTCAAAGGTCAAGGTCATTGACTATGTCTGTCCCATTCCTGTGAACTTGACTGGTCGCCAGAGGGATACAACCATAAAGTGGTAATTCTAGTTTTATTTTTACAAGTTAAAAAAAATGTCAAAATAGAGATAACTGTAATGAATCAGTGAGTGAAAATGTAGACATAAAACTGGGGAAATTAAAGGGAGTAAAGGCAGGTCTCTGTCAGAGTCCTATTTAATTCAAGATCCAGAGAATTTACAGTAGGCCTAGTTATTATTATGGTTCATTAATCATAGGGCCAGTACCTTTTTTAAAAACTAATAATTATCTATATAGCCGTCCCTGGTAGGCTAGTGGTTAAGGCGCAGCGCTCTCACCGCTGCAGCCCGGGTTTGAATCAGGGTTGCGTCAGGAAGGGCATCCGGTGTAAAACATGTGCCAAATGTCAACATGCGAGTCGTCAGTGTGACGATTCACTGTGGCGACCCCTAAACGGGAAAAGCCAAAAGTGACTTTCTTTTTAATAATTATCTATATATTGTATTTAAAAACTTTAGAGAATTTAGAGAATAAATCTGTATTTGAAGAACTATGACCAAGATTTGTAGTGAGCAGAACATCTTACAGTTACAATAATCTTATTGATCCTACAAACTTATGTAATGGAGACACCATTTCACAATTACCTCAAACATATGTGGCATTTTGTACTTACTCTTCTTGTTATTTAGTGGACAACATACTGAACATTTATCTGAAATAAGTTAGTACAGGCCAATAAGTCCATAAGCCTTAGACAGATACATAACATCTCATGTGAATGTGGTTTCTTATTCATAAACTATGCAATGGTTTTTGCTTAGTTTGGAATTTAGACTTAAATGTATGAAAATCTTGCTCTAGCCAAACTTTAATCATTGCTGCAGGGGCTGCTGTCATTAAATGAGCCAATATAAACCACAGCAGCAACGGGTGATGTATAATGTGTACGACTGTCATATCTGCAATAAAAGTGGCTTCTTCATACGAGTGCATCCTCAGAACCCAAACCTGAACAGTTCTGTCCTCACAGAACTATTTTAGGAAGGAAAAGAGAGAGGACAAGCATGGAAGACAGGAAAGCAAGCAGACATGACAAACAGACATGGCAGATATCAAGCAAGCTACAGCAGAAGGGTGGAGGAGGAAGAGGAGGAGTAGGGGGAGGGGACGGGAACAGGACTTGCGCCACTCACCACTGGACCCGGTCTGCCGTCTAACCCATGAGCCCCCTGTATAGCGTTGTACACAGTTAGAGAGCAGAGATGATGGAGGAGATGGTAGGAAGGTGGGGCTGTGACTCAAGTGACTTCAAAATTACATTTAGATGATGACAAATGAAGGGTGAGGGAAGCGGTGGAGGTAAAGTGAGTGACAGTCATGACAGTAACGTCTTTGATGGCTGATGGCCATACTGTTGGTCATTGTAAGGCTCTGTACTCTGTTTTCACCTTCACTGACATGATATACAGTAACATCATGCTTGTAGATCTGGGCATTTGGTGCATGTTGGCCCACCTGCGAGGGTGGTAATAACCCCATATCCCCGATTATTCAGACTAAGATTGCCTTCTTGTTAGCGTCTCTCTGTCTTTGTTGGAAGGTACACGTCTGGTGTTATTCTACATTTTATGTCAACAAATCCTATAATAAGATTAAATCCAACAATGTGTAAATATGTCTCTCAATACGTTCTTCCCTACCCTGTCCTAAGCCCACCTACAAAGAACTCCGTTTTTAATTTCACAAATACACAATTAAAGAAAAGGATCAGTAAAACTAGTTAGCTAGCTGTGTTATCTAAAAAAAACTACTAATCTCAGCTCTAAGTCCACAGTCTAGTGTTTTCTGGAGCTTTCATCCATATTATGCTTCTCATAATTAAAGAAATGATGCAAACTTGGTTTGGTCCAAAGCTCCAGAAAAAACTAACCCAATACATGACAAAGGAGATCTACACAGTAAGCTGGAGAAATCCTTCCCACATACATCCGATAGAGAAATATGCTCTTATTTAAACTAATCCAGCTGTTTACATGTCATGTAAAGTCAGGTGTTTTCCTTGTACTACAGTATATGCATGCAATAGTGAAGTGTGCCCGAATTCCTCCTGCTGCTCCTCTGTTGACATTTTGCTTTCTGTGTAGAGACAGTGGAACACTGAATGAAATGTTACAAATACACTTACAAATACTGGAACATTGCTTTGAATTACAACAGAGCAGAGTTTACCAAGATGCAAACTAAAAATGCATGAAAGTACTGGTAACTACTAAAATACCACTGTTATGTGGTCAGAATGTTAAAGCTCACTGATGAGTGGTCTAAGCATTACACAGGTAGTGTTCTGTACTACTTATTGCGTTTCTGTGTTTGCTTGTATCTGCAAAATATTGTTTATAACCTGTGTGTTGTCCAACTGGTGAATGTCTTAGTATGCTTCAGTTTTATCTCTTGCGGTATTTTCTTTCCCCTAAACACTGAGTCAGAGAGGTGGGGATGAATTTCTTTTTAATGTTTTTGATGATTTGCATACATTTTGTTAACCTGCAGTATTCTCTTGGCCACCATAGAGTTCATGGGGTTGTGTTAATACTCTTGACAGGCTGGTGAGCTGATTAGAGTGGACAGTCTTGTTCAGTCTTGCTCATAATGAAAACCTGCTGTATGGCCTGTAACAGTCCAACAATGAACAATGTGAGTTTGACACCATTTGAAAAGTATGAAAGGATCCCATTTAAATCAGCCCAAAGATGATTTGGATACCATTTTGAATAATGTCCATAATGCCAGTTGTTCTGTAATGAAGCAGTGATAATTCCTAAAATAATCAAGATTAAATATGAAAACAGACAAAGCTACCCCAAAGAATGTTAAAGAACTGTGAAATGTGTGAACTTACAGGGAGTCCCAGGTGGCCTCTGTCTCCCTTGTCACCCTTCTGACCAGTTGCTCCCCTTTCTCCTCTGAGACCTATGCCTGGCTCTCCCTAAGAGACAGGGTAGGAGAATCACTTCCTTACACTTTAAAGCATAGAATAGCTATGATTCAGACAACTGAAGGAATATTTAATCAAATGTAGAGCAGGAGGATAAATATCTCACTTTAGGCCCTGATGGTCCCTGAGATCCCTGAATAAAACAAAAACAGTGAGATTAGTGTCACCAATCTATACTGTTTCACAGTCATGCAGCCCAGTCAGCACCCCCCCTTCCCATGCTAGTGTTCCCATTTGCTGCCACTGCAAGCCACAGGTAAATCTGAGTTAATGTCAAGAGATAAAAATTGAATGAAAAGCATCTTTAAATGCTGTTTTGAGAAATTGTAAAGACATGAATAAAAACACAAAGCTTAAAAAATACTTAATAGGTTGTTTGTCACTGTGTTGCTGTAGCACAAACTGCAGGTGGGGGGCTGGAAGTGATTTTCTACACAGGCCGTACTATCACAAGCTCTCAAACTGCCTATAGTTTGTGTCATTTATGGCTGATCAGACCAATCACACTGACAAAGCAGATGAAGCTTTTACAGAGTATCAAATGTTGTTGGTCATAAGGGGGAAATGCAAGAAACTGACCATAAAACTCTGGTATTGTGTCAAACTGTTTCCCCCGCCCAGATATTTCTCTCCTGTTAAACACCGTTTCCGTCGGTGACCCCATCAGTGATCAGGGCTGGGATAAAGTGAGATTCAGGGAAACACAGCTAGACAAGGGAACACACTTTGACACAACAAGGACAAAATGGCTTGCAAAGCCTTTGTCTGGGACAATGAAGAGTGTAGTGGGCTAATGCTCCACTGTGCGGTGACCACTTATGTAGCTAGCTAACTGCTACTCTGCTGTGCAAATGCAATGAGCTGCAGTGACTTCTCCGTCCTGCTTCGCGATGAACATTCAAAATCTTTAGTGGTGTCACTGTTGAATGTTTTGCTGCTAGGTTAATCCACAGGACCATAGACATACTGTACATTACATAATATCTATGCACAGGACAATTTGCCTCAGTATCAGGAAAGGCTTTCAGTTCTGTTGAAAAATCCTCTTAACATAAGGATTATGTCTCATTTATGTTGTGATTTTCTGTTTATACCCTAATATATTTTAAACTAGCATAATACAGACTGTATCTGCTTATCACTTTCTGCCTTCCATCTGATTTTCACACATCATAATAGTCGTGTTTGTAAACCACCTATTGCACATTATTATTACTATGTTTGAATGTAGCATGATTATTTACAATTGCTAAGTTATTAAAGCATTGGAAATTGCCTTATTATACAGTATATAACTAAGATTATATATAATAAACTAAAATGAAGGCCCAGACACTTTGGGTATGAATAATATTATTTTTACTGCATGTATTTGCTGCATCGGTTTCTGTATTAAAGGCCTGGCACACTCAGAGTCCTCCCCACAGGTGTTTTCACTGAAACCTATTAAATGTTTTCAGAACTGTGTGGGTAGATTGGTTTTGAATAACAACCCATTCTCTGCAAATGCAATGAGCTGCAGTGACTTCTTCTTACCCACCTATACCCACTACTGCTTCATTAAGTTTGGAATTTGCATGGAATATTTGACTCACTGCTGGGCCAACTGGTCCTGGAGGTCCTGGGGGCCCTGGAGGACCGTAGATCTACATACAGACAGACACAAACATAAGCAGCAAGTGAGTTCTGAAAATATTGCTCAAATATATTGTCATAATGAATTGTGCAAATGGCACCACTGGGTTAATCAGTAATGCTTACCCTGTCTGACCTTCCCAATTCTCCAGGCTCACCTTTAGGACCCTGTCACAAAAGGTAGCAAAAACACAGAAGGACACAAAGTTGAGATATAGTCCCTCATCAGACAAACTATTAAAAGAACGAAAAATGAACATTTTTTCTGGATGAATACAAAATGTATTCCACTGTTCCCCCTTTCCCAAGTCAGTGACTAGATCAGCAAACATGCAACCTGATGGGGCACCATTGCGTACCATTGCACCAGGTAATCCAATAGGGCCAGGGACCCCTGTAGCCCCCTTTTCACCAGTAGGGCCATCTAAACCCTACAGAACAAGGAAGGGGAAATAGACATCATGACAGTGGTAGAGTGTTTCAGTTCAGGGATTGAGAGCTGATCTTCATGTTACAAAGCAGAAAACACTAATGAGGACATTTTTTTTTTTTATCCAGTTTTAGCTTCCATCACCAAATCTTTACACCAATCAACACCAGGGGCAGTAAAGTGTGGAAAAAGGGAAGGGGTCTGAATGCTTTCTGAAGCCACTGTATATACAAAGGCATTTATTACCTGGCTGTTGTTTTTAATTTTTTCATTTCATTACAAAAACAAATTAAACAATTGAACAACATTGTACGGCACCCTGCAAAATAACTTTTTAACAACCTTTTTTTTTTTTCACAGCCCAGTATTGATTTTCTTTGTTGTACGGAAACACTGTAGTCAGGGACGCAATGCTGCCCATCCATAGCTAACTGTCCAACCTACAGACAGACACAACTAGCTTTAGTGTAGGCTCTTGAAGTAGCACCAGGCTACAAATAGTATGGTACTGTATATGGGGGCTGATCTGGGATCTACACCACAGTGACTTAAGAGTTATACTCATTTTAAAAGTCTCAGTGCTGGGATCTCTTCCAGGCCAGTGAGTCTGTAATTAGATGACAAGCAGTCAAATGAAAAACCTGGAGACTTCCCTCTGGATAATGACAGACAGGACTCAGGCTTTGGTCAGGGAACCCCAGTGAATGAGACGATGTGTGGTGTGCGGTTAGCACGGTCACTCACAGGTGATCCAGATGGACCCATGTCTCCCTTGTCTCCCTTGGGTCCTGGGAAGCCCATGACACCACCCTCCCCTCTAGGACCTTCAGGACCGACCGGACCTGCGGGACCAGGCTCTCCAGGCTTCCCTCTGAGTCCCTGAAAACACAAAAGGCCAGTGTCATCTCACATAATTTAACTTAAAAAACAAGAAGCTATGACACAGATATTTTTTACAAAAAAATTTTAAATGGGGAGTTTTAATCATTAGTAATCACAGACACACACATTGTGTTTCCATCACTTCAGGGGACATTACATTGACTTGCATTCATTTCCTGGAAACTCAGCCTAACCTTAACCATAGCCACTATTTGTCTAACCTAAATGTAATGATTTTCATTTTGGGGACTTGGATGTGGAGTCCCCACAAGGTGACTGTGTAAACAGATTTATGACCTCACAACATGCGCAGGTCTCACACACACATACATTTTTTTTTTATCATAATTAATAGACTTATTTCACATTATAGATTCATGTAATAATTCAACTGCCTGGATAATAATCTTGAGTATCTTACCTTCTCACCATCCAGTCCTGGAGGACCTGGTAGACCAACTTCACCCTAAGGACAAACCAAATCTGGATTACCCATCAGACAAAGCAGGGACTAATCCCAGGGCAGAACATCAGCGGCGCGGGACATAATGTACATCAGTTAGTTTCAAGTAACATGATTGCCTGAAAATTCGTTAGCTATGTTGGTGGTGTTTCAGTCCACCAACATAGCACAGCAGCAGTTACTGCATTGTTTCTTTTCTCATTACAACTGAGAGATAAATGTTAGAAAGGAATGTACAATTTTGTGCATTTGACTGGGTAATGCAGTGCTTTACCAGATGATGTCAGATTACAAAAAACTGAGCCATCAGACCACTCTTTCTGTGGTCAGCTGGACCTCCTGCACTGGCAGCCTTGCTGTACCAGGAGACTGACCCCGTTCAAATGACCGTGAGTGATGCACTGTCACCTCACAGCAAGAAAGCTTCAAGTTTAAACCTTGCAGCTAACCGCAGCCTTTCTGTGTGGGGTTTGCATGATCTCCCCATGTCTCTGTGGGTTCTCTCCAGGTACTCCGGCTTCCACCCACAGTCCAAAGACATGCAACTTAGCTTGACTGGTGACTCTAAACTGCCCCCAGGTGTGAATGTTTGTGTGTGGTTGTTTGTCTCTTTGTGTCCGCCCTGAGATAGACTGGCAACCTGTCCAGGGTGTATACACCCAGTGTCAGCTGGGAATGGTTATCATTCTGAAATGTCTCCTACCTTGGCACCAGGGGCCCCTGGAGGTCCAGGTAAACCAGGGGGACCCTAGGAAGAGAATAGATCACATGATTAGAAACTCAGAACATCATTAAGGACACTTCACACCCTGGATGTTCACTCTTTCAACTGCTGCTGTCAGGTAGATGGTTCAGAGTAATCAAATCAATGACCACTAGATTCAAGAATAGTTTTTACTCAGTAGCAGTTACCACATTCAGTGCTGCTAAAATATAATATGCCTGTGTGTGTGTGTGTGTGTCTGGGGGAAGGGGGCGGGGGTGGTGGTGATGGGGTGGTGAAGTCTGTTGTTTATTTTGTTTTTTAACGATTGTTTTAATATAGTTTTATTTCATATGTTATGTTTTTTTTATGTTTTTGCACCGACTCTAAAATTTCATTGTACGTGTTATAACGACAATAAAGGATTATTTTATCATATTAAACAGAGCTTCCTGTAATGTTTGCAAAAGTTACAATGAGCCCTAAAAAGCACTTACCATCAGGGGTATGTTGCGAATGTCCTGTGGAAGAATATTAAATATTAAAAATACTTTACATCATTCTGTAGTTTTTCCACATCTACAAAAGTGCAACTAAATAAGAACAACAGACATTTTCATTGTTGTGGATATCAGTCTTTCCTGGTTCTCCATTTGGGCCTGGAGCACCCTATAATGTGAAAAAGATCACTTGTAAGCTCATTTGTAAATTCTTCATGAATGTAATAAGCATTTTGTGTATGTCAACATTTGCAACATGTTGTCATGAACCTGCCCGTCATGACTTACTCTTGGTCCAGCTGGGCCTTCAGGGCCTGCATCCCCCTAGAGGTTAAATGCATGTACTTAGATTCTCCAGAAGCATTTTGAACTTGTTTTCTGCATAATGCTGTTTTATCTTACCTTGTCTCCTGGGTCACCTCTGTCACCCTGTAAGAACAATACCATACAGAGACTCTGATAAGCACTATCTCTTGTTTCTTAATAAATAATCTAAACTAGTCTGCATGTATTTGTCCACTAATCCAATTATTTCCTTTTACCTTGGGTCCCATTAGGCCTGGCAATCCAGGTGAACCTGGTTCTCCTTTAATGCTTGGTGCTCCCTTCTCACCCTGCAGTGCATGCAATACAAAACAAAAGGAATGCATGCATGTATGATTGTTGTTAAAATGAAGAAAACATAACATAAGGGTTGTACAGCACAATAAGAGAGATTTAGTCTGTGAAGCCACAGACAATGCTCAGAAATTACTTTACTTTTAACCCAAGAATGCCCAGGAAACCTGATTCTCCACACACTGGTCAAGAGTGCATAAAGGTAAAAAATGGTGACAAAAAAAACAACCACTGATTTGCCTTTTTTGTGTGTATTTCAAAATATTAAAAAATAAACTCACTGGCTACTTTATTAGGTACAGCTGCACAACTGTATGCAATTCAGTGCAACATCTCCACCTTAACATCTGTGTTTATGAAGCTCAAAATGTTTTAGTTATTTAGTTATTGTCATAAATATATAAATCCAATGAAATGTTCATTACAGGGGTCCTAGTTAAAGGTGGTGTTGTCCTGAGCTAAATTGTATTTAGAGGTGCCTTGTCTATGCAAATTCTCAGTCATCCAGGTCGTACTATGCTGAAAAAACTTAGAAGAAGGCATCTGGACGTAGTTTTAGGTAGAATACCTTTCCCCTCTCATCCAAGAGGCTTCATCAGTTCTGTCCGACCGGTGGTGAGCAGGAGGTATTTATCCCACTGGGTGGCATTTGACTGCCAACAATGTTCCCTAATGACTGATTTGTTAGGGTCTGGTATCGGTGAGTCGTTACCTGTCTTTGAACCCTCACATGTGGACCAATGCTCTAAACCAAAAAGGAGCAAAGAGGTGGAGCTCTCTAGACGGCTAGCGGCCAGCCACCAATGGCATGAACCTCCCACTTGTCACTCACAGTGACCACACCCTTAATTATGCACAACCTTTACTCTCACTATAATATAAATGGGCAAGTTATAAAAAAAATCATCCCCTGTACAGTTGTCATGGAAGGGGAAATTAGCTAAAGAGACCAAAACCAGGCTGTAAACATGATTTCTGCTGTAACCTTGGGCATTTTAACATGGGAGTTCATGAGCATTTTAATACTGGAAAAATGACAATCTTCAGATTTTTTGTTAACTTAAGTCTCTCAAAGTTTTTTCTTCCAGTTTCACTTCCAGTCTGTCACAGCTTTGGTATGAACATCCACTTTCAAATTCATGAAATCTTTTTGTTAATGAATAATCACAATAAAGGACAATCAAATTGGAAGATTGCCATTTTTTCTAATATTGATCCTTTTTAATGCCAATGTTTGTTTTTCAGTTACAGCTTTGTTTTGTTCTTTCAGTTATGGTTTTGTTTTCAATGCCAACCAAGTGAAATGAAAAAGTGATTGCCAGTCACAGCGTGAGGAACTCTCTGAAACTGGTTGTTAAAAACACACTCATTTACTGCCAGCCATCTGTGTTCTTGCTTCTCTTTTCAGATTAATGAGATTGTTTATAGATGATCTATAGTCACAGCTGGACACAAGGACAGATATAGCAAGGCTGGTAGAGGTCGATCCTACAATCCTGTTTCCCCAGATGGAAGAGTTGGGCTGTCAACTGCATATCTGATGATGCAGTAATAAAACCTCTCATAGCTGTAGATTGAGTATAACAAATTAATGAAAGTTGCAAGTCATATCTCAGAGAACTGTGAAGTGCTCTATATAGCAAGCATGGAAACGAGATGATGCACAAATTACACAGATGTTAAGGCAGAAGTGCTGCATTGAATTGCATACAGTTGTGCGGGTGTGGCTATTAATGTGGCTGGCCAGCCACTTCTACAAGCTCCTTATAACTAGTGTAAAGACAAAATATGTATTATATATATTTCAAATGCTTCAGTTAAGTTTTGTTGAACTTTCATCCTTGTCACACTGGCATTTCAAATTCTTTTGATGACATCATGCTGTATATATACCAAACATTCAAGCATTTGGGGTTTTTTAGTCTCTGAGTAAGTGTCGTGAACCTTTCGTGCCACTAGAGAGCAGGGCAACACTGCTCAGTGTGGTAAACCTAAATTGATAGCAGTTAGTTTGGTAATATATAGAAGCCACAATGCTGGAAGAAAGAGAGAAAGAAAGTCAGCACCACACTGCTACAGGCTGCACAAGTTAATGTGTAGGGGTGTTCTTACATGTTTTCATGTGACTGTTTTCTTTTATAATTGTACACATATCATATATTTCTTATATTTATTAGTATTGTACAGTAAATTATATTAATACAACATAAGCCCTCCTTGGGATGGGTTCTGTAAGTAAACAAAAACATATGTTTCAACCGTTTCAGTGTCTAGCAACTGAGTACTGCTACTTAATACTCAGTACCAGCTGTTTCTAATGAGCGTCAACTCCACACATCGTTAATGTATTGTTATTGTGGCTATTGTGTCAGGCATTATAGGTATGATTCTTGTTAAAATAAGCCCTAGGGCAACAATCTGTAATTGTGTAAAGTACAATATGTAGTCTAGTTCAACCAGAAAATCACCAGACAACACCTCAGATGTCAAAGCAGCAGCTACTTGTTAGCTGGTCCAGTCAGTCACCAAGTCAACAATCCCATCCTGTTCAGCAGTTGTTCTTAATGTCATCTGGCCTCATCTAACCTCATCATGCACCTGTATACTTAACTCCTACCCCACCACCATCACCAAACCCTCCTGCTTGTTCAACTGCTTTACTGCTATCCTGGCCACTGCTGCCTGTGTCCTGTTCCTGACTCATACCCTTCTACTTTAAATGTGCCCACGAGCAGCTATTTGTGTTCAGACCTATGGCTTGTTTGCGACCTGCCTTTTGGCCTTCACCTTTCCAGATTGTGTTTGAACCTTTTGCTGCCAACCATGATTCACTGACTGATTTTCAGCCTGCTCACCCTTGGTGTCTGTATTTGGCTCCTATCCCCTCTTACATAAACTATTGAGATTGGATTTCTCCTTGTTCCTCCAAAACCCTCTATCCACAAATGATTTTATTAATATAAGTAATGTATTTACTCTAATATTTACGTTCAGATTCAAAAAGGTACATCGTTTTAGGACCATGGATGTGCCAAGTATTACATGGAATTCTGTCAGTTAGATTAGGAACCACCTTGTGTATATGTTTTTGTGTAGGTGTAAGAGCAGTACTAAAGGAAAGCTCTTGGGTGGTCACAAAGGGAAATACTTGAAGGAATTATCCTCTGGAAACTGTGAACATTTTTGGACAAAATATTGGTATTCAGTATATTAGGACCAAAGTGCAAGATGGATAAATTCTATAATCTGTAACCCAGCATGTCTGGTTAGTTCAGGAAATAGTGAATTCTTGATTTTTTATAGAATTATGAGCTGAAAATGAAGAGTGGAGAGAAATCAGTTTTCTTCTGTGTCTGTGGCTTTGGAACTGAAGCAGCTGAGTCTAGAAAAGGCATTCATTTGCGGTCTGCATCAGGCAGATATTAATGGCCATTGTGGATTTTCCCTTGAAAGACACCGGCGGCCAGCTCTCTGAGATTATATATAGAACGATTTTTCCCAACCATACTCAAACATTAAGGATCAGCCTGCAAAAGCAATTTCCTTGTATTACTAAACAACAAAAGCCTTTCCAGGTCGCTGTTTCCTGTGGATACAGGAATATGCACTTTCCTTCAAGTGTTTTCCTTCTTTCTTCCTCTTGCTCCCATCTGTGAGGCTTAATGGAGAAAACACACACATACATATGGCTATGACTGCTTCGGTACTCATTAGAAACAAGGACACTGTTGAGTTACTGTTGTGAGGACATGAGAACTCAAACAGACGAGGCTTGCTCAAGAAACTCTGCCCAGTGAAAACATCTTAAAATTGTTCAGCAAGTCAAATATCTCTGTTCTTCTATGAAACACTGACAGGAGTTTTCCCCAGTACAGTTCTACACCACCACAACTTACATCTTCCATAATGACCATACTGTTGAGTCAACACTTTTAGACAGTTTCAACACATACGGAACATTATCACCTTTATGAAGGAGGATTTATTGTTGGACTGTTGTTATAATATTGATTAATTTACCAAGCCATTACAGTACAACTCCATGCCCTTACAAGTAGATTTAAATTCATGAAGGATTTCAGGTTATTTGTGTTCTAAGACAGATATTACCTCTTCACTACAAATGCCCAAAGAGCCTTTGTAATAAGGGACACATTTAATCCAAGTTTCAATCATCCAGACTCCAGCTGCAACTTCTGTGATCTCACCATGCATAAATAATCCTCGGCATGGCACACACACACAACCTCATGCCTGACTTTGACTTTCATCTTCTCTCCCCTCTCTTCTGGGAAACTGCTCATCTTTCTGGAGAGGGTATGGAAGCAGCAGCCCAGAGAAGCTGCAGCACACTAAAAGCAGACACCCTTAAACTGGAGGAAAACCAGGGAACAAAGAAGATCTGAATGTTGGTCACTGGACAGAAGTGGCAATTGTTGGCTTGGAAAAAGAATTAAACAGCCGCCAGTGGAGATTTCTCCAGATCCAGTCTCAATTATCATGCTTTCCATTAAAGGCTTATCATATACTGATGAAGCTGGCTAATAAAAAAACAAAACAATGTGCTAATAGTGGGGCTACCATAATTCTGACCCTTCATTTGTTGTTGATTATTATTCTGTGAGGCAAACCTCCCAACCCTGGATCATTATTAGCTTAGTAAATCCTGTGTCAGCACACTGCATATACGGAATGTTGAGATCTTTTATTCTTTTCAAAGAACTGGCAGACTAGTCGACGCAAGCAAAGTAAGATACTCTCTTGTTACATCTACAAATCTATCAAGGTCCTGTCCTGTGGAGCCAGCTCCAAGCCTCAGGCCTTCCTCACACCACTGATGTCACCTTCACTTATCAACCACTATCGCCATCCCCATTGGTGTCAAGTAAACTATGTACCACTTGGTAACATGGTCTTTGCTCATGAAGTGAAACTTGAGATGCAAATTCTGGTGGAAAGCTATTATTTCCAACAACATGCTTTATCTTTTTCGCACTTGCAAAGACTGACAGAAAAATTGTGGCTATGCAACAAAAACTATTTGTATCTCAAAACTACTGTAGATGACTGTGACTCTTTCAGTGTTCATTAAATGTTGCTTTATGAGTTGAGACATTTCTCATGTGTCTTAAATTAAACAAATTATCAAACTTGAATTGAATTTGTTCATAAAGGTTTTAGAGATACAGGTTCTGTGTATCTGTATATGTGTAGGGATTAGGGGAGTGTCTTCTATTCAGGACTGCAGTATTTCTGAAGTCTTGGCTATGGCTGTGGACAGGACATAGAAAATGATCTGCAACCTGTGGCAGCTGTTGGTGAAAATGAAAAGGTAAAACATCTTACCTTAATACCGGGATCTCCCTTAACTCCCTGTGAAGCAAAACAGAGACAAATATTATAACTCTAACAACAGACAACAATCATTGTAGTCCACTAGATGGAGGACAAGCTCTGGACAAACCAAAAGCCAGATGGCACCAGCTGCATATCTGCACCCTCATCTCAGTCGTTTCATGTGCTCATAAAGCCCATGACAGAAAACAGAAACCAGATTTTGGGTTGATTTCAAATAGTGCAATGGAAGAATAGTTCAAGTTTACAAGACATTATTCTGCACAGAAGCTCACCACTACAAGGTTCCTCCAACAGTCCCAAGAACATCAGAGGAACAGCTTGTTTCACTGTGACCTATACAGTTCAGCTTCAATCTCAGTTTTTATTTCTGGCTTCAGGCAAAATTCATCATGGTAAGGACACTGCAGCTTTGTTGTGATAGCAGCAGCTCCAGTGTTTGACAACAACAGCAAAACTGAGATGTTAAGAACACCGAATTAAATTTTTACACTGAATGAATTACTTGGTCTTTAAACTCAACATAAGCAGCTCCACTAATCAATCAAACATTTCTATAAACCTGAGCAGACAGACAGTAAATAACATGTTGATGTTTCCCCTATGCTTCATGTAGAGAATGCTGTGTGACAATATGAAGTCAAATATTAAACGGTGAATGTCTGTGGTGGCGTTTTAACCTCTTTTAGTTCACTCACTCACTGTTTTGGTTTTCATGACTAGCAGCTATGTTCCCATGTTAAAACCACTGTCCACTAACTGCTAAGTACAAACAGCAGACAAACAAGCTGGTGAGCATAGCGGATGCCCCTAGCACCTGACAAACCAGCTAGCTAACAGCTAGCTAACAGGAGAGTGAATGGACTTGCATTTATCATTTGGCCAGAAACACAGCTCCAGGTGAATGCTAATGTTGCTGCCACAGATATCCTCTTTTAAACCTCTATAACATTAAACTTTACTCTTTTCTTAACACCCACCCCACTCCACCCCGACATACACACACATTTTAGGCATCTCTTCTTTCGTCATCTATAATGCCCCCAAACTCTAGATTCTATTTTTGCCAGTTGCAGTAATGGCTTGGATTAGTGTAGAACAGTTGCTGAGTGCTTGTTGGTCTCCGTGTGTGTCCTTTAGAGGAGGTCTGTTGAGCCATGGAAAGGTGGTGAAGGACAAACATGTGGAGAGTGTCATGGGCATAGCTCACATCAACCCCCTCCACAGCTTCATAGCCAAGGTTACATTCTTCAAGCCGCCATCCACAGTGTGCATGCATGTTTGTGTCAGTGTGTGTGTGTACATGCTGTTTATCTCTGTTTATTCAATACTAAGAAGAATATTGTGCAATAAACCAGCCAACACTTTCCACTGAATAAATGTCAAAACCATAAATGCAGCAGCAGGTGCTGCCTGCAGGACTTTGTGAGGTCAGGGCTTCAGTATTCTTGTCAATTCAATTTTAAACAGTTCCCAAAGCTTCATTTAATATTTTTTATCATTGAATAAAAATGAAAAAAGTGATGCTTGCTGGACAGATGACGTGAATAATGCAGACAAGAGCCACACTCCTCATGCAAAAATCAACTGTAAAACTGAGCTTACTTCAGGGATGCAAGTTAGACAAATTAACTGCCTTACAGTTTTTTAGAATGCAAAACAACATGCACTCTGTGTCTCCATGGACAGTGTTTCCTCGCTGTGTTTGGTAGTGCAGTAGCAGCTAAAGACATACAAAATTAAATTAAATTAAACTAAATTACATTACATTAATAAAAACTACAATAAAGATACTTCATTTGACTATAGCTCATATTATACTTCTCCATAAAAGCTGTTGTTAAAGGAAGATCAGGTGAAATTATGGCCAGTATAGAAAAGAAGAATGTCAACAGTGACCACTAACTCATATCAATGTACATATGGGATTTGAATGTTGTATGTGTGAATGGTGTGAATGTTATAAGATAGAGTTTAAGAAAGCTGAATATATCCTTTAAAGCTTAATTTTAAACGCTTTGTTGTGCCCATTTGAACAAAACATGAATAACACAGTCAAACAGTCAAACAGTAATATAGTATCTCTGAATTTGGATAAAACTAAATTTATGGTATTTGGGAATCGTAGACTAGATAATGAACTTCAATTGAAAATTGGGGGAGCTAATATAGAACGAGTATATAGGGATCACACCAATGTAGCTTTCATACAGTCTAAATTGTTAAACTTTTTTGATTTAGTTGGATATAAGACTGCAGTGTTTATGTATAAAGCCAGGAGCAATTTATTACCTGGTGGAATTCAAAAACTATTTAATGAAAGGGAAGGGGGATACAATTTAAGGGGTCAGTTAAATTTAAAAATTCATGCTATACGTACAACCAAAAAAAGATTTTGTATTTCCATGAGTGGGGTAAAACTATGGAATAATTTAAGTGTGGACATAAAAAATAGTAATAGAATTGACAAGTTTAAACATAAATATAAAGGTATGTGTCAATCAAGATATATGCAAGAACAGGCTCAATGATTAATTACATGGAACATTGTGGGTGTGGTGTATGAATGTTAACACTCTGTAATAATTCTTTAGTATATTACTTGTGTGATGTAAGAATGTTAACACTGTTATAATCTTTTTTTAGTATAATACTTGTGTGGGTAGAAGTGAATCATTTACTGCTTGCAAACCAATGATGGTAAGATGATGTCATGGGGTAGGACTGGATAAGTCTGACTTCTTCCTACTCCATTCAAGCATGTACTAGGTATAAGCAAATGGGTATTGGGTTGTGTGTAAAATTATGTGAGTTGTCATATCAACTGTCTTTACATGCTTGAAAGAATAAATCAAATCAAATCAAATCAAACATGAAAAACTGGTAGAAAGTTAAAAACCTTTGGGCCTTCGGGGCCTGGAAAGCCGACATCACCTTGATCACCCTATGGAGAGACAAAGAGACAAAAAATAATTTCATACAGATTTTTAAAAGTTTCTTAGAAGCAACCATCTTCTCCTGGGGTACTCTAAAAGCCCCACTGTCTATCTCGTGTCTGATTTCTTTCTAAAATACCAGCTTAGTGCGTACAGATAAACTCTTTAACTTATGAAAACAATTACTGCTTCCTTCTGCATTAACCCCTCCAGGCATATGGAGGCACACCGTCTTTAAAAGCCTACCATTAAAAGGGGAAATAGATGTGTAGTTCCTTCTGTTTACAATGAAAAATCCTTTGGTTAATAACTAACCATTCCATGACTACCACTGTTTATGTCCCTTTTCCAGAGTTAAATACAGAAAAGATCTCACCTTTTGTCCTGGCACACCTGGCTCACCCTAGAGAGATTTTTAAAAATGTGTGTAAATCTCATATTCAGCCAATATAACAAATCCTGTATTTTACACTGACAGATATACAGATAAGCAGGTGGCTGAGGCCCGATTTGAGGGCTTCAAAGTCAAGGTTTCCACCTTAATGCGTCTCTGACTGCACCCCAGCCCAGTTATTACTGCTCAAAATGAAGCCTGTACTGTGAGAACCACTATGGGATTTAGCTTGATTTCCATAGTAAGAAGTATTTACAGGACTCTGTACATTTTTCTGACCTCACAATCTACATTCCTTCTTTTAAAGAACCCAAGACAATGAATGGACCCCATGGAGATGTACTCATCTAATCCAAAGGAAACAGACGTGTAGTGTTTATGCTGTATAGATGAGGTTGATATGAAGTTCAGAGCAGCTGCACGGAGACGAAGTGAAAACATCTTGATTTGATCCCTAATTCCCTGCTTGTTTTATTTGGGCCTGATTGTGTTTGTCTGTAATAAATCTAGATTCATCATGATAGACACATAGTCATGGTGGCCACTGTTACGGTTTATGAAGTTTTTCAGAACTGTAATTTTGGTGTTTGTACAAAAAGAGAAACTGTTTACCTTCAGTCCTGGTAAAAGCTGCAGAAACAATGAAAAAATTGCAAAAGAGTCAGTTTCACCCCAACAGATTTTCACTATTGAGATGTTTCTGAAAACATAAAGCTTGAGGAGTCACTGAACCACAGCTTACCCTTGGGTCTTTTCCTGGCTTGCCCGGCTCACCAGGCTTACCCTGTGTGAAAGAGTAAAAGCTCTTTACACAGAATGTGCAAAACTATCTTCAATTCCAGTTACAAGATGTCTTTTAAATGTTCAACTATGTATTTTGTGGATATATAGTAACATAAAGGTTGACGTTAAGTTCTAAATATTTTTCCCACTAAAGCAATGAAGGCAAAATAAACCAATAAATAGACTTAAATAAAGGACCACTTTTCTACACACTCTGTGACCTCAAAGCACTTTACACTATATTTGCTCATTCATGGAGCCAAGCCTGCAGCAGGTGGTAAAGTAAGTGTACCGAACACCAGACATGAAACGGCACCTTAACCTTTTAAAAACTGAAGAGCTCCAGTGGCTGTGTCAGTAAAATGTTGGCTAGTTTTAGTTTTAGGTGGCAGCATGGAATTGATGTCGGTTTTGAAAGAGCTGATTAATGGACAGCAGCATGCATTTTTTTTTTTTTTTTTGTTTTAAATCTGGGCTCCATTTCTTTGAACATCTCAGTTTGGCTGACATGATGCATGCATGTGTCTTCTTTTCAGGCACGTCACTATTATTAAGTGATAAGTCAAATATAGCACAAAATGATTTACCAGTCATAGTTACAATTCTGATTTAAAAGACTGAAACTATTAACTATAGTAACCCCCATCTGATGTGAATATGTCATAATCCACAGGAAAGTTGTCAGCATGACAGAGAAAGCATTAAAGTGACTGCTTTATAGTCTGAACTACATAGAGTATCACTAGAACAGATAACTTTTCTTTTGTTTTTATTGTTAATCTCGTGTTTTAATAATGGACTAGTTGTACAGTTTTACACAGGCAGTAACAGTTTGTGGTTATCAGCCAGGCTGCAGCCCAAAGACTGGTCAACAATGAGCTGTGAGCACCTACTCAGGGTGAGAGAGACTATATGGAAACCCTCTGTATAAAACAGGTCTTCCAAAGAGTAGTCCCTGTCTAATTGAAAACTAATAATACTCTTCAGTAAAAACAAAAATAATTATATCCATGCATTTTTATGATTTCCTCAGTAGCAGCCAACTGTCTTGAGGATAAGAGCCACAAACAGGGCAGTGAAGTCAGAAGGTACTGAGAGACATACACACCGAATGGCCACTGATTCAAAAAGTGTTAAAAAGAATGGGCTGATTGAGACGATTTATTTAAAAAAGTGTCTGTCCAACAACTGCTGTCTGTGTGGAAGCTGCAATGTTTAATAAGGTGGCTAATGTCTGTGCAGATTCTCGGTCATCCAGGTCATAGTAAGCTGAAAAATGTTGTTTTACCTCTCATCCAAGAGGCTTCACCAGTTCTGATCATCAGATCATCTAAGTTTTTTTCAGCTAAGGTGGCTAATGAACAAATACACTGCATAAGTAGGGTCTGAATTTCTGAATGAACACAGACTAGGACTCACTGGTGGGCCACTGGCTCCGTTCAGGCCTGGCGTCCCTGGGGATCCAGGGGGCCCTGGAGGTCCTGGGGGTCCCTGAGCTCCAGGCTCGCCCTGCTGAGAGACCTAGAGTTACAACCTGCCTCATTTGACTGAGAGTTGCCACACTGGCCATGCAAGCACACACTATACATCAGATCACACCACAAATGAATACAGCAGGAGGGTTGCAGAGAAGAAGATTAGATGGGCAGCAAGGCAAGTGGTTTTAATGCTCGAGCACAAAGATTCATTCTTGGCCTTCAAAACACCATGTGACAAAATCTTTCTGTGACAAAAAATAAAAAATCTAACCTCAAGGTTCACTGGGTAGCTTTTCCACAGCTTTTACCATATCCTACAAACTTCATGGAATGGACTTTGCTCAGGTATCAAGATGTGATCAAGGACCCTTAGCAAGCTACCCTGGATAAGAGGCACCAGTAGCAAACATCAGGTGTTTATGAATAAGGAACAAACTGGTGCCAGCATCAGCACTAACTGAAGACAGCATTAGTTAATATTAGTCAAAAACTGGTCACAGTATTAAAGGGAAGTGATGTGACCTATGTAGTGAAGGGCAGTTTATATAAGGGTGGAATCATAACCAGTGTCTTGTTCAAGGTGACTCAATGGGCTTTATTTTCCTGTAAGCAGTAAACTCAAGTCAAAACCGAGCTATGGTGCAAGTGGGTGTGTCTAACAATTTTTTGGTGACCACTGTTGGGTGCAGCCAGGTGCACAACATGGAAGAGAGGTGGAATACATTATTAGTGGGAGGAATGCACTATGAGCAGCTGGAGGTGAGGCAGGCTTTAGTTAGGGCCAACCAAACTAGCTCCTCTCATCCACTCTAAAAGCTCCATGAAAACCTGACTGATGTCCCAAATGACAAAAGATTCTTGCCCTGTCTCTTCTCTTCCTAATAATTATGTCGTCCATTTCTAAATTGTGATGACAATATTTACTGTAGAAGAACTGTACCTAAATATTCACTCTGCTGTCATCATTGACCAGCCTTTGTGCATGGAAAACAGAAAAACTCTGGTCTGGTAACCAGCAGCATTTTTATAGTGTAGTTTACTCACAGCTGCATCTAGTGTGCGACATGCAATGAGGTTATTTACATGTAACTTTATAAATGTTTAACTGCTGTCAATAGTGCCTGTAACATGCTACCTAGCCTAGATTCGTATTAGGAAAATCGCAATGCACCTGCATTTGAGATAAGAGGTGGTCTGAGCAGGTGTCATCACTGTTTCTGGTCACAGTGAGCACCAGAGCTGCACAGCACTGCCTAATCAGCATATACATGGGCTCATCTGTGCCTGTCCTCCCACCTCAGCATAAAATGTATTTGTTCATGTAAGAAAAATACCAAACAAGCCAATATACAAAATCACACAGACTTGCATCTGGGGAGATTTTCATAAAGACAGCAAGTTATGCTGGCCTTGAGCTGGCAAGACAACAAAGCCAAGTGAATGTGAATGTATCCTTGATCTTTCTCCAGCCATCCACTAATTTAGACTCCTTCTCACTGAATGGGGTCAAACCACCTAAAATACCCCAGATATCCCCAAGACCCTTGGCAAGGGCCTGGATGCAAGTGAGTACCACAAACAGACGATGTTGTCTGTCTGTGAAGATGAGACCAAAACTGCTCACAAGCAAAGTCACTGACTAGAATCTGCCCAAAAAGATAAAGGAGGACATTCCCACCTCATTCCTGATAACACCGTCTTTAAGCAAAGACAGGGTTTATGATTTTTGCCGTTACATTACCAAAGTCCACTACTTAGGTCACATGATGAAAACTGAGCAAGTTCCATTTGCTGAAGAAGGCAACTGGGAAAAAAGCTACAGAGAAAGAAAGTGCACCTTCAGTTTAGAACGTGGTTACAGTGCTGTTTCTGAAGTAACTACCTTTGTTTGGAGAGCCAGCATCAGGACATAGGTGAAACAAACATAACTTTTATGCATTTGGTTTATTTATTTATTTAACTTTTTGTTTTAGCTTCTTTTTTTTTTTTTTTTTTTACAAGCCAGACAGTAAAGGGGCCAGTAGTCCTGGATCTCTCATTTTTCCCTGATCTTGTTGTCGAATGTACACCAGCTTTTCCAAGATTAGCTTGGAATTCTTGCTGGGTTTGGAGATCACAAAAGAGCTGTAACAGCAGATGTTATTATTATTTCTATTTCAGCTCAACAGATGTAATTTTGACATCGGTCTTTCCATGCAGCTTCTTCAGAATACACTGCTAATCTGTGGGTGGCGATTGTGAAGATTACCCATTGACAGCCAGAGCCAAGGGAATTATTTCAAACCAAAGCCAAGAGAATGAATGAATAAATTAAAGAGGAGAATAAATATACCTCAATGGTTGAAATGCATCAGTCTGCCTGCTACACATCCGGAATCTGATTCTTTTCTGTTTCATGCTAAAATAATTTCCACTATACATCTTTTGCAGTTTATAAATACATTTCCTATTTGCAGCAGGTCAGTATTTTATAGACACTTCCACATGGAAACATCCATTATCATACTGGCAACGAGTCTGGCATGTCATTCGGTGCATTATGCTACAGTACATGATTTATCTTCACATATGGTCCAGCTTACAGACACTCCTAAGACACAGCACTGGCCTTACTTCAGTCACTCAGCAATCATTGTGTTACTGTAGGAGAACACATATGTACAGTAGCACAGGACCAGAAAGCACTGCCAAGTACTTGTTCTGAGATAATGGAGAACACATCCATCCTCTGCACTGAATTTGCAGTGTCCAGATTTAATTTATGTCTGGGCATGTTAGGCTTTTCTCAGAGGTTGTACGTGTACTGTAATGACTAGACTGCAGCTGCCAATAGCTCAGTTTGACCACATTCAGGAGAGGACATTCTAGAAAAAAATGTATACATATGTTGAAAGTATATATGCCATACATCTCATCAGGATGGAAATCCCATTATGTCAGATGGCCAACACTGATTGGCTCATTTCTGATTTATCATAGGGAAGCAATATGGAATGTGTAAAGGATGTCATTCCTTTTTGTATGGCAATGAAATGTGGTTATCTCCAGAACAGAGTCTGTGTTCTGGTCCAGAGTAGATAGATGTGGGATAAGTCAGACAGAGCAGATGCCAACCTAGCCGACCTGTGACAGGATGCAAAGGACCACTGATACACAGCTTCGTTTAGAGTTGTAGGAACTGATGGACAGTGCTGGCTGCAGGACATGTCTTTTTGACATCAGAAGGATTTGTAACATAACCGACTGCTGATAAACCTGTACCTTATTTACTCTATTTCATTTTACTGTATTTGTGTATTACTCTTCTTCTTCTACGGAATATATTTATAGATTTCATTGTATTCAATAGAAAATAGTTTGTTTGAAATCATATTTAAACACTACAGCATCTATTAACAGTTTGAATATCATTTTCATCACATGTAAAAGCATATTATGGTTATTTTATTACATTATGGCTTTTACACTATCAGCACTATAGCTCGAGGTAGTGTAGGTAAAAACAAAGTAGAGAGGGTTTAATGAAAAGATGCCATCAACTTGCAGCGTTGGAAATTGAGCATTTTTGAAGGACTAAAAGCAACTGCCATTATTTTGATTTAAGATTAAATAAAGCTTTAAATAAAACAATGACTTTTGGCTCACTTAAAGCAGAAAAAAATACAACATTTATTAACAGAAAAGACTTTTACATTTGAATATGACTAAACATTCAGAAGCAGTAGCAGCCAAAAGTTGGTTAACAGCATGATGGTGCAAGAGGGTTGAGGAGGTTTTGGCGACGGATAATGCCGGTGGCATCCACAGTGTAGGTAGAAAGCAAGAGGCAAGTAGGGGGCAGAGAGAATTGTACCTTGAGGCGTTTTAAGATTAGAGGGCTTATTGAGGGCATGTTTCGCACGGTGATGGGCAACATCTGCTGGGGGGAGTCACAAAGCACAGGTGGCCAGCGGTGCAAAAAGGTCACAGGGCAAAGGTCACCAGGAGGCCAGAGAAAGGAAACAGGGTAGAACCAAAAGAACGAGGGAAGAAGGGTGGAGGGATATGGAGGAAAAAGAGAAATAGAACATGAGTAACATAAGAGAGAGTAGCAAGGAAATGGGAAGGCGAAGGAGAGAAGAAAGGCAACAAGGTTGAAGAAAGGAAAGACAAAAGAGAGGCACCAGCACAGCAAACTATGGGCCTGGATTGGCAAAGGGATGGTCGATGTACTGTGATGCTTCATTATTTGAAAAATGTAAATGCATTCCAATATGCTTTGATACTGTCAGAGTCTGTTGGCTGCAAATCAAGGATCCCTTAGTTGGGATCTGTGTGTATCTGTGTCTTATTAACAGTAAGCCAGGCCCCTAGATTGCAGCAGAGCAGAGGTAGGCGCCAGTCTTGCCACAAAGAGAGAAGAGCAGTATAATTGCAGTGCACATCCAGACTTACTGTGGCCAACTGTCCAACACAGGGCTGTACAATACGTCGCTTCTGTTGGGATGACCAGCATAATCAGGTACAAGTTCAGGAGAGAGCAGTACACCTAGGATGCTGCTCATAGCTATATTCGCTCACTGACAAGTAGAACCAGTTGCACGCAACTTACCTACTTTTTACATAGCGTACATATTTCCACAACTTTTATTATGCAGCAACCTTAAAAACACAGACCAACTTCACCCAATACCTGAAACCCAGAAGAAGTACACTGGTCTTTACCAATTTGCCATACATATGTCCATGGATAAGTCTGTTTTAGAACGTGTTTCTTTTCATTGTCTGATCAGTCACGTTATTTTTAAGCAGATCAGTTGAAAACCAAAGATAACAATAGTACTGTATCTATGGAAATATATACAGCATGTTATGAGTAAATATAAGTAGGGGAATAAATGTAGTAAAAGTAGGCAAGTATGCTGACTTGTCCCTCACCCTTTCCAGCTATCCACCACAACTGGAAATTGGTTGAAATTTATAGAAGACAAGGGCTGCCAATATTTAAGTGAAAAAATTAAATCAAATAAAAATTGTATTTTCCATTTGTATTAATGTTATGATTGTCAAAATGTGCATTCAAATAAAAAAAAATCCAATTGTCATTTTTGTATTCAAAATTCTTTGTCTGAAAATTAAAGTATAATAAAACATAACAGAAAATAGTTTTTTAGTATTAATCTAAGCATTTTATCTGTTGTTACCTTTTGACCTCAGATAGGTTGTGTGGTATAATAAAGGCAGACACAAAAAGCCGTACCTTAATACTACACGTCTTCAGGCTGTAGAAAATGCTATAGGCTGATTTGTTTTGTACTGCATCTAATGCTGTTTGCTTGTTTGGCTTTTTTTTTCTGTGTGATAGCAGGCCAAATTAAATTTCTGTTTCAGACTGTATAATGCTGTCTTGATTATAATCAGTTTTAATTAGAATATGACATTTTCATTTTTAAATTTCAAAATTATGCAAAATAAGTAACTGAAACTGAAAAATGTATCAGTTTTCACTAGTTTAAATTAATGTAATTAAATTTTCATGCCATAGATCATGAGCACAGATTTGGTAAATGATTTGTTAATAATTCTGCAAATTAATTGTAATATTGGCATACCTGTGCTTCTGCAGTAAGTGCAATTAACCCTAATTCCAGCAGAAATTTAAAGAGATTAACCAGATCTTTTATGAAAAATGTACTTTTCTTTTGGGTGGAGAGCAGAGGGTTGAGGAGTTGCTTGGCTCTACAACATTGGCTCTCTTTGCGGCACGACTTGGTGACAGCCCCACTGAGGGTTACCTATCGGGGTCTTCTGAGGCACCCACAAACCTTCAACATAAGAGCCTGACTGGATCGCAAGGCAGCCAGGGTTTTCAATGGAAGGTCCTGCACAAAGAGGCCCTACACATCAAGGAAGTGGTCATTTCAGTCATTGCTGGAAACAGTGGCAACCAGCCATTAACCAACCACACAAATGGCGAGTAATAATCTTGTGAAGCCTGACTTAAACATGATTTCACTGTAAGAGCTCGAAGGGTTTATTTTCTTTCAGACAGTGAGACATCCAGGGTAGATATCACACTGATGTCTGTGTGATAAGTACAGAGATGGAGTTTGGATGTGTTAGTCTGGCTTAACATAAACACTGGAAACATGGAAAAACAACTAGTCTGGGTCTTTAGGAAAAAGTCTACAACACCTCTACTCTCATGATGTATCGTTTCAAATTAACTTTTATGTTAAAAGAACTGGAAAATTTGTGATTTACACATGTTGAAGCTATTACTCAACAGACCTGCACTATAGATAGAAAAACACACACGGTAAGTCAAGAACCACTGCTCTGAGTCTATTTGCAGTACTAGGCTGACCACATCCTGACTCCAGGTCTGTACTGGATGCACAGACATGAGAACGGTATCAACCTTCTCATCTCCCTCTCAGAGAGAAAGCAAATAAGTGCATTTTCTAAAATGCTGACCCCAATAACAATGGGGCTGCTGCTGAAATACACAATTACATAAGAACAAAAGCTTTGCCTATCTTGCTGGCTTTGTCTTGAAACAGACTTTCTAAACACTGAGCATAACATTTTAAGCTGAGCAGACATTGTACCATTGTACTCATTGTGCTCAATGTGTTAATTCGCACTATACATTTTAATGGGCCTTCCCACACGGCGTGAATCCATATGCTCACTCAACCAGGCACTGCAGAACCCCAAACAAGGTCTGTTCATTAACATTTCCTTTAAAGTTCCATTCAAGCAAGATGGCTTCATCCTCAAAGTTGATATCAACAACTAAAAACACAGCGTTACTCTTAGCCATTTTACTTTGCACAGCTGAAGAACAGTCAGATTTTTGGTCGTTTGGATGATTAATTGGCCGCCACGACCCCGCGCACTCTGCATGTCAAACGACAAATGATTGCAATAAAATTCGGCCCGATATTAAACATGTTCAGGGGCGACTGAAGTGGGGCTAAAACAGGGACAAATGCATACACTGTCTGCCCAGCTTTACCTTCACCAACAGCAACCAACCCCCATAAATCCAAGTATATGAATGAGGCCTGGAAATGGACCTCCCATAGAGCAGCTGCAGGGGGCTCAGAAAAGTGGCTGGTCAAACCCCCCAAAAAACAATAACATACAGCTTGTGAGCTTGGCTTCCTTACAGGCTAAAAACATCAAATCCCAATATGCTCAGGGTCCTTCTTCCTCTGAACACCACAATCTTGAAACTAGCCTGAAGCATTTACTGTTCTGAGATGTAGATTACAACTTGATGCATTATTGACCCATAAGACCATTTCAACATGTTATTCTGAGGGGCTTTTAAACAAGGTAGCAATCAGGAACAGTTTAATAGCTGAAAGGTTGAATTACCCTGAAAATGGACCTAACTATCAGAAAAATCAAAATCTCCCTTTACACAGGAGACTCTTATTCTTGGCACCCCCACACACTGGCTCTTATCACGTCTGACTGTATGCTCTTGCAAACTGCTTGTAATTGCCTTGTTTTCTTTCAACTAGAGATGGTGGGCCACAGAACAGCAGAGCTCCACATGTGCTACTCATCATTGTGCTACCCGATATTTGTCTGTCCAGCTTCTGCAGTAGCTTCTCCTCTTCCTGCTTCACTTTTCTATTCTGTTCTGACATCACAAAACTGCAAAAAATAATGTAAATGCTGTAGGATGGACAACAGTACAGTTCAGTTGGTGTCATAATAATAAAGTAAACTTACATTACAATAAGTTGATTCAAATCACTTCTGAATTTTTGCATAAACACTGATGATGCAGTTTTTTTTTTTTTTTTTGTAATGAGAGAGAATTTAAAAAAATCTCTATTACCATTGTGATGTTTTCTTACCCGGTGTGTGTAGTCTCCACATACACCCTGGAGAGAACCAAAAAGACTTCCATCAGAAATAAGAATACCATAAACAGTAAAGGTTTTCACATACTTATGACTCTAATTCATTAAAATCAGCTTCAAATTTAAAGGAAAGTCCACAGGTTTTGCCCAGGAGTATCAATTCAGCCTGTGAAAATAGTTTAATGTGTTCTGTGGTTTGAGAAGAGCTTTGCCAAGTCTGAGAAAACACCTGGATGATGTCATAGTGATGGTTATTTCCTTGTGGGCTTAGAGAGTGCAGATTTATATTAGAAAGTCTTGTGACAAACTGGGAGCATTGTGTTTGAAAAACATTGGTGATTAGCAGGCGGAGAGGGACTAATGAGAAGAAGCATGTGACGCATTGTGAAGCATTATGGCAAATGTGGGATCCAGTGTTTTGAGTTGGACTCTAATAGGGATTAAAAGTCAGGATATTTTGACCTCTGATGCTTAAATTTCAAACTTTTTTCTTTCAGTTCTCTCTTGTTAGCCCCCCCCCCAAAATGAATGAGGCAAGATGGTAATTTGCTGGACTACCATTTTAACACTATTTAACTATTTAAACAGACTGAATATCTTCCATCACTGCTGGGTGGTAAACTCTAAAATATGTTACTGACCAAATTGTAAAATTACTGCAACCATGTCTCACCTTCTCCCCTTTGGGTCCAGGGTCCCCCTAGAAAGTAAAAGAATATAAGTGAAATAAGGTACCTGGTTATACAGTTAGCCTAAAAGATTAGCAGGTAACAATTTCAAATATCAGACTTCAAAAACGTACTGGCAGTCCTGTAGGACCACGCTGCCCCTGAAAGACAGCAGTAAAACTGTACAGATTAGATATTTGAAACATGTGACACATAATAGGCAAGAACAGAAAAGAAAGAAAGAAAAAACAACAACACAAGAATAACCATTAAAATGAATGGAAACATATTTTTCAAATTCTTTAAAAAATAAGTAAATAAATATGCACGTCCATAAATATTACATGTTTGAAAGGGAGTGGGGAGAAGTATACAGTTCAGGCCCTCAGTGTGCCCAGTAAGTAGCTGTCAGCGCTGAGCGACTGGTTGATTAATGAACTCAGGGAAAGGGCCCAGGACACATCCAGTGCACCCCATGTGCCCTATAGGGTTAGCAGCTACTCTCAAGCCACCTTGTGAAGGCAATAAAGTTTCTATACATTTACGAGACAACCTCTCAAAGCTCATTTTGCGAGTGAGGAAACTTACAAGAGCTCATTACAAAACTCAACATTCAGTACTATTTCAGCGGTATCCAGCCCCAGTTGGCTTCCTTGAAAATTATGCCATTTGTACTGGAATGTAGTTCATTGGAGCTGGACATAGTAGTGCTTCAGAAAACAAACACCAGCATGATGACTTCCCCTTGTCTGGCTATGAGTAATGGTCTTTAAACAGATATATGGTTGCTAAGATGGCGGCGCGAACAAATGCAGCGGCCCCTCTCTCTCTGAGTTGTGTGCCTAAAAATGTGTGTTCTAGTGTGTGTTCACGTTTGTCGTGTTTATGTTCTGGTGCGTATAGTTGAACGTGTTCTAGTGTGTGTTCACGTTTGTCGAGTTTATATTCTGGTGCGTATAGTTCAATGTCTACGTTTCCCATTATAACTAAGATAATTTGTTTTCTCATGGTGGCAGCAATACGCTGCTGTATGTGGTTCTTATGGATAGTAAGAAATATAATCCTTCCCTCACCACTTCAAGGGTTGATGGGCTCAATTAAGTGTTACATCCATGGTAATTACAAAACAACTTTGTTCACGAATTCAAGGAATGCTTACCATTTCCCCCTTCTGTCCATTCTGTCCCTGTGTAAACATCACAACAGTGAATGCACATGGTAACCTAAGTGAACACATCTAAACAGACACCTCCACTTGAATTCACTTGAAAAAAAGAAAAGCATCTTAGAAACATCTATAGCATGTTTAACCCCATCCAACATTAATGACAGATTTTATTACAATAATTATGCAGTTATTTTTGTTCACAGGGTACTGGGACTCAATTATTCAGTTATTTCAGTTTTTGAAAGGAACCCAGGGGAACTCACAGGCTTGCCATCCAACCCAATTGGACCCTAGGATAAAAACAGAGAAAGAGGTGTTTCAATATCCAAGGAGATCAGCAATTGCATCAGACGTTTCTGCACCTCATTACAACATCAGCTGAAAAACAGGCTGGCTGTAAATTGTTTTGCACTAAGTACATAACAATTAAGATGAAAATGAAGAGGTGGTGTCTGTGTAGATTAGCTGAAGTATTTTGGCAATAAAGTGAAATTTAGATTAAGATTAGCCCTGATTCAGCATGTTTAATTTAGGTTCAAGACAGATGGCTGTGGGTCAATAGCAGAGGGGTTTGTCCAACTAATTGCAGAGTTGGCAGTTCAGTCTCTGGCTCCCCCTGCCCACCTGCTGAGGTGTCCTTGGGCAAAACATTGAACCCCAGGTGAACAGCATCTGTAAAGTACTTTGTCAGATGGCATGGTCATGACTTACTGGGAAGCCTGGAAATCCTCTTGTTCCAGGTTGTCCCTAGAGAGAAGCATAAAAAAGTTAGTGTGTTTCTTGTATTTCAGAAAATCTGATGGAACCAGGTCAATGAAAAAGATGCAGCTCTCTTCCTCAGTGCCTCCACTGCACCACTGTATTTAATGAGTATTGGAACTGATTTGAAGGCTAAGTGTAATCTAGAGGACTTTGGGCAATACATTCAGTATGAGTGTGTGAGAGGGTGTTATCAGTGGACAGGAGGCAATTAGACTGAAATGGAACACCTGACAAAAGAAAACAACAAAGAGTTCTAATGTAATAAAAATGGATGACCAGGGAGAAAAGGTAAATTAGCTCAATGAGTGTATGTCAATAACCGTGAGTTCACTGGTGGTGGTCTGAGTTTTTCTACTTTGCTTCTCAGACTGGTACAAGATATTTAATATCCTTGGGAAAAGAAAAGAGAGGAAATAACAATGCCCTGTACAAAAAACAATTACAAGGAAGGTGAAGGTGACTGATGAAACACCTTCTCATAATCTTATGTGCAATCTCCAACATGAGCATAAACTGCACTAACTAAGATTTAGCACAAATGTGGATAAGTAAAAATGATCAAGTGTTGTCTCCCTGCTGTTTCAGCATGTTGAACTGGTGGCAGACCTCATCAGTGAGAGAGAGGTCATCTGATTGGCTGTTCAGCTTAGCAAATAAGTGCACAAGAAGAGAACAGTTTGGTAAAGTTCCTTCAGCCTGTTGCTGTAGTATCCATGATTTCTAACATTTAGTGCAGATTCTCCTTGTTTTTTGCCTCCATTTCCTCCTTTCTTCTTCCACAACCAAAAGACCAAGAGCAGAGAACAGCAGTGTCATTTGCAATGTCTTATCTGACTAGAAGCACTATAAACAGCAGCTGTGCTGAACGAGAACTGCTTTGTTTACACTTGTATTTCTGCAGTCTAGCTCGTCTTCTTTCCCTTTCTGAATGGTGAATACAAATACTGCCACCTGCTAGTACAAAGAGTTATTGCTCTCACACTCGCACAGAACATACAGTATGTGCTATTTGGCCATTGGCTCTGTGTGTGTGTGTGTGTGTGTGTGTGTGTGTGTGTGGTGTGCTCAAGTGTCACTTTTTCGTCCGATTGGCCCAGACAAAGGTGACATGAGGCCATGCAACAGTCAGCCTACATCAGTGCTAGTTCTTTCATGTCTGCTTGGTGTGTCTCTGCCCTTAAACCAACACAAGCACCAACATCCATCCACTGATGAAAACTATGTGATGTAGGAAAACCTGTTGGATAAATAATGTTTCCAAGGTCAAGAGTTGCCTTCCACACTAACTGAGTTTTAAGCTGGTATCAAAATACATTTTGCACCTACACCTTCCATTGCAAGTAGGCATTGTTACCCTTAAAACTATTTCCTGTATGCATTTAGGGAATCATTGTGCAAATGCTTCAGCATAGAATATCACATGTATTGACTAAAAAATATCTCTTTGAAGTCCATAGTCAAGCTAAAAAGTTCAAAACCTTTTTTGCAATGGAAAATATCTTTTCAGTTATCCATTCTTTAGAAATGCCCATTAACCATCCATGAAGAGTGGACACACACATGTATAGACTGTAACAGCCATAACCATCAATTTCAAAAACAGATGTGCCCCACTTAAAGAGGCTAGACTCTTTGTTAAAGTATGCCATCTTTTTTCTGGTTTGCATAATATGCCACATAGTCCTCCTCAAAACTGAAAAGGAGAAGAAAGACTAAATGCATTTGTCCTCTGAAGAATTTGGGTCATAATACGAGGAACCATTCAATCTGTCTGGTGTCTAGATAACTACAGTAACACAGTTAGAGTATGATGGAGTTTCTTGCTTTGCTTCCTGATAAAAACAAACATGACAAATGATTCAATTTATAGCCAAATCACAGCTCCAGCCCACTTGAACAGTGTTGTTTTCACACAGTCTGTAATTATATACTATTTTTCTATTATTTCTGGTGCATTCACGTAGTTGTGACTGTTTGGCAAGGCTATCCTAAACCTGATCCCAGTACCCCACAAGCCTGGAAAGAGCAGGTCTCTCAAATTGTCGAATTTAATCAACAGAAGTGAAAGGTCCATTGGTGTTTAACAACCTGATGTGTTAAGCAGACATCTAATGGCTTGGCATGCAGGCAGGCAACAATGACTCAAGAAAAGAGATTTTATTGGGTGTAGGGAGAAGTGAGGACACTCACAGGAGGTCCTCTTGGTCCAATGATGGACAGACCTGGCTCCCCTGGTGCTCCCTGTAGACATATAGAAAGACAGAATGAAAACATAACTAAAGGATATGATGGAGAGGGGATGCCAGTTACTTTCTTAGTCACCTCTAGAGATCAGAGAAATTCAGCTCATAAACATTAACATTCTGTATAATATTGTCAGCATAACCATTCACAGGTTTGGACTCACTTTCCCACTGAACTGAATGGGAAAATGTATACATGCACGCAAATACATGGATACATTTTCCCATTTAGTTTCAGTGGGAAAGTGAGTCCAAACCTGTGAATGGTTATGCTGACAATATTATACAGAATGGGGAGAGAGAGGAGACAGCAGAAAAATAAACCTAATAGGATGCACATACACTGTGTTTATTTCCTCCTCTCAGAAGACCATGGCGGACATGCACAGAAATATAGCTAATGCTACTTTAGGGTTAGAAGGTGAACGGCTGTTGCTAGCGAGCTAACATGCTAGCCATGCTAGGGCTTTTCTGCTACAGTGGCTCTCCAAGGTAGTGGATTTGTTAATGCCAGTTAGCAAGTAACAATAACCTAAATGTTATTGTTGTTACATACACATTTTACATATCAAAGTGAGTTTACCATGAAGAATATTCTCAACCTGAGAAAACTGTTGTAAAATGTCTTTTGTGCCTCCAGTATCTAAGAAAATAACCCAAATGATGTCATCAGACTTATCTCAGCTTGGCCTTGGAGGCTATTTATTTTCAATCCTTCATTACAAATTGCAATTTGGAAGGAAGGGTGGATGTATGCCAGGCACAGAGACAATAAGAAAAGACTGACAATATAGGCATATTTTTGTATCTTAACCCATACAATTTCAAAATAACTGCTGTTCTTATCCTTTTGTTCAGTATTATACTTCATAACTTGACAATATGTATCGAAATGTCAGCAGGGGGATTGTAAAAACAGTGGCATGCCTTTGGGCTTTGGCTTTTGCAAAGCAAAGCTGATGTGCACCATGACACTGGCGGTCTATGCAGGCTATCTGATCCTCCCTGCGCAATCCCACAGACCACTGAGGCCACACTGGCCCAACTCAGGTAAAAACTGAAGATAGGGGTTCATGTCATCTCAGGCGGTTTTCGGTTACTTTTTGATTGTCTACAGCTTTAGCTAATTAGCCAAGTGAAGGTCTACAGATACACTCATGAAGAGACTGGATTACTTTGGTTAAGGTCAGTTCACCAGGCAAAGTTTGAATCACAACTAAAATCAGGACCCAAAAATAAATACACTTACACTAAAATCAATTACTGTGGATTCAGAAGCAGATAAAGCTATGCATCACATTTCCTTCTATATGAAATTGTCTCAAACCCATAAAGAGCAGAGCATATATCAACTGGGATCTTTTGATGGTTTGTTGCAAAAAACAATCTATCTTTTCTATCTGTTTTTTTTTTTTGTCTTGTTTTCTTTGCTAGTTACCTGCCCCAGACAAATAAATGTATAAGACAAATAAATAATGCACAGAATATACACAAGGTAAACACACCATCACAACCAAAGGGGAGAGAGACACAGCAGTAGGTCTAGCAGTTAGCACTGAGATAAATGCAGCCAAACTCTTCCTTAAATGTCTTAACAATATAAAAAAAGTTTAGTTGTAGCCTGTAGAATTCCAAATTGTAGTTTGATGATCACAAGTCCCCATCCACTACTCTTTTGCATTACAGTAATTATATTGTGCTCATTAATAATTGCCTGATCCCTTCCTTTTTGTTTTTAATAATCAGGTTTATCATATATATCCCTTGAGCCTATCCCAGTGCTAACACACTGCACAGGTCTATCACAGGGCCGACACACAGAGATTGACACCTGTGGGCAATATAGCGTCACTGATCAACCTAACCTGAATATATTTGGACTGTGGGAGGAAGCTGGAGTACCTGCAGCAAACCCATGCAGGCACAGGGAGAACACGCAAACTCCGCACAGAAAGAATTGAACCCAGAACCTTCTCGCTGTGAGGTGATCGGGCTAACCACTGCAACAAATGTGCTAAAAATTTTCATTCCCATGCTTTGTAGTCTTCTTCCCTGCCTTCTGTTGAGCATTTCTTGGGGTGGCACTGTCCCCTGCTTATTAGTGGAATAGTGTGAAACTATTAGTAAATACCATACAGTAAATACACATCTGCATACATAGTTTTGCTTTACTAAACAGCTATGCATTTAACAAGTTGTAATTATCATTCCATTCAGTTTCACAAATGAACTTAAAATCAACCTTCAGCAAACTAACATTACACTTTTTGCCGGTAGTTTACTTTCATGAGAATAAAAGTGATTGTTTTGATTTTTATATTCCTGTGCTGCTGAAATTGGAAGATTTCCCATGTTTACCCTCACACATTTGCAATTCCTGAACCCAAGTGGGATATATTGGACCCTACAGTAGAATTTATCTTGCATATAATTTCCACCTTGTGACCAGTACCATTCTTTTTTTTTCCTCCCAGCTAGTAGCTCACATTTATGGTCACGTCAACATTACAGAGAACTAAGACTTAACTGATTGGGCAACACACCAGTAACAATATTTATTTATCTCAAAATTCAGGTATATTCATTCTAAGTTCTCTGAGAATCTCCTTGTGTACTGTGCTCTGGCCTCTGTAAATGTCTCTCCACTTTCTTTGGGGAATCTTAAATTAGAACTTTCAGACGCTTATGTGACAAATTGTTACTATTGTGTTTCACTGTGTAAAGAGTTCAGGTAATCCAACCAGGGTGGGAAACCTTTTATACAATGTGACCCTCATGCTGTTTAAAAATACAGACACAAGCCCCTGATATAAATCATGTTACCTATCCACCCAATACAGTGCACTTCTAACTAAGTCACATCTTATTAGCATCTAAAATGAAAGACTCTTTATAATTCACTGGTTTTCTATAACTTCTTGTACTGATGCAAGCAGACTGGGTTGACCATAGCTGGCCAAAGTAATGAAGGACACCAAATGGAGTTACTTGTTACAGTACTCCTAAACTTACCTTGTCCCCTGCTTGTCCTTTTAAGCCCTGGGATCAGTCACAGCAGACACAGTTACATGCAAAAGGTGTGAAGAGAGGGGAGACACAAGAGAGAGATGACACCGGTGCTAGAGACATAGAGGGCTCAGGGCATGCAGCATCCTTAGAACTACTGGTAGGGGAGAGGGAGTGAAAATGCTAAGGGCAGCTGTTGTGGAGGTGGCTGTGGCTCAGGAGATAGGGAGGTTTCTCTAACTGGAGGATTAACGGTTCGATTCCTAGCTTGTCCTGTCAACATGTCGAAGTGTCTATGAGCAAGACACTGAACCCCCAGTTGCTCTCAGCTATAACACCAGTGTGTGAATGCGTGAGCATTTGGGAGTGTGAATGGGTGAATGGCCAAGTAGTGTGAAAGCGCTTTGAGTGTGCTGTAAAACGTAGAAATCACTATACATGTATAAGACCATTTATAATTTACCATGCTGTATGTATAAGTGAAATGAAGCTCAGTGGAAGCCAAAGGCCTCAGTGTGCTTCAAACTAAGTGCTTGTCAGATCATCTACCAGTGTCTGAAATGTCCATTCTGATAGATGTTGAGGTGCAACTATTAATTTATCAATTTTTGTAACTTTCTGAAAACATTTTATATAAATTTTATGCCTTTTTCATTATTCACACATTTGTTTGTTTGCATGCTTTCAAAGACAGACTGTAGAAATGTTATGCATTGCACGATACAAGATTCTTCTCATTCCCAGGGTGTCAAATATTGATGCTTTGCCAAGTACATATATGTCTCATAGACAGTAAAGGGTATCTTGCTGCCGAGCAACTGGACCATCAGTGGATTTATGGTGACACAGGGGGCTCTATCTTGCAACAACCACATGGCGTGCGGTGCGGGTATTGCATGTCTGTTTTTCATAATTTCCTACCTGTGCAATTACTTTTTGTAATTGTTTTAGTTTGAACTGTTTTCATGACATGCACATCACGTTGCCTTTTTACCATTTTTCCTTGTTGTCAAATTACTGACACGAACAAGGGCACACCCAAATGGCACTTCCGCCAGTACATCTTGATTAGATGTTGTGAATCATCAAAACAGGGCATCCTGTAGTTCACCTCTGTCAATCCTCCAGGCTTTTCAATGTGCTGTAGGTCTGTTGGTCATTAACAATCTACTCTCTTGTTTTGTTGTAACAGCTTACAAAGTTCACAACACTATAAGTTTTCTTCTGGCTGACATTAATATTGTTGCTCATTGGATATTAAACTGTCCACAGTTGAACTTCAAGTGTTTAATAGTGAACTGAGATGTGTTTGTGGGGATTCTGGCCTTTGTTGGTCACTGTAGCCACATTATTATTTGTGTTTAACAGTGCTGTAATCGGTAATTACCTCAAATTTATGAAATGCTAATTGGGTATTTCCTGATATCACTTACACATGCCCATAATTATAAAGGCTAGCAAGAAAGCTATGGGAAAAGAGCCCGTCCTTCTGTAAAATACAACAGTATATGTCGTTTATTACAACAAAATGTTACATGTTGTAGTTTGGCGACATCTAGTATCTGATTAATTATGACACAAGGAAAGGAATAAGTATATAAAGTCACAAAGTCCATGTTAGGCTGAGGTTGGGATAGATGGCTAGGTACAGTATCCAAAGCACCAGACGCTGTCTCAGGAGAGCTGAGTTCAGTTCCAGTGTTTTGTATGTGTTTTTGTTAGATGTGACCAAATGTGGGTTTTTTTCCTAAACAAGTAGTTGGGCTGCATCGTTTTGCTGGAGCCCCCGAGTGGTGCAAACAATCCCTCATAAAAATGAATGAGCCAGAGATGGCTGCGTTTTTTTTTTCATAGCTTTGAAACTCTGTCTGAACGCAGGCTAAGAAATTCATTTTAGTCATTAAAATAGCAGCCTGTGTCACTGCTTTCCTTAGAGCTGATATGTTGATTCTGGCCATGTCACATGCTTGATCCACAAACCCAAGTCACTCACCCTTCTGCCAGGAATCCCCATACTTCCTTTGTCACCCTATTGACCAATGCAAATTCAGAAGAAACAGGATTAACAAGGTTAGAATGAAGACTGACGTGAACTCTTAAAGGGATACCTTGACATTTAGACTTAAAGGCTCTTTGTCATTTTCAATAAACTAAATTAATTTCATCTTATCTGATTAGGTTCATTTTAATTTGAATCGATTTCAGCTGGCACATTATAGGAAAAGCAGTTGCTGCCCTTCACTAGCACTGGTTTCTTAGTACAGTTACAACTGATCATTGAACCTAATGGCGGTAGAACTGGGAAAGAGATATTAATGCTGTTTGCTAAATTTCTAATGACATGGTATCCATTTAAGGAATGTTATAATTTGTGTTGAGAGAGTGTAGTTAGTTCATTACAGACAAGTATTTCATGATGGAGTGATTAAAAGAAACTACTTTGATCCACTCATGCATCCCAAGACCCCTGGCAGATCTGAGATATTTAGAATAACATTGCAGTTATTCTTTATCTCATTTGAGGTAAGCGGTTGGTGGCCATAACAAAAGCTCTGACTACTACTATTCTGACAGATATTGAATTTAAGGTCATGCTTCATAGCTCATTACAGTGTAAGAAGAGTCATGGGTGGCAGTTGGGGTGATAAGAGGACTAAGACTACGTTCACACTGCAGGTCTTAATGCTCAGATCAGATTTTTTGCCGAAATCCGATTTTTTTGCGCTGTTGTTCACACTGTCATTTAAATGCGACTGCCATCTGTCTCATGTGTGAACGGTATACGACCCTGAGGTGACCCGCATGCGCAGAAGAGGATGTGACGTCAGACGCAGCGTACTGTGTTTGCGGAAATAAAAATGGATGTGGTTCGTGATAGCATGTGCGTAGCGATGTACCTGACAATTTGCAATCGAAATAAAGACATAATAATAAGAATATCAAGAAGAAGGAGAGCACAAATATTGCTTATGGCCTTTTGTGGAGCAGTGGCTGCTACCTCTGTACAGAGGAATGTGTGGGTGCGGAGTCGCGACATGGCTGTTCAGACTGAAGTTGCATTGCAAAACATCGGATACGTATCCGATTTAGGACTACATATGAAAGTGGCCTGGGCCGGATTTGGAAAAAAAAAAAATTTGGATTTGTGCTGTTCACACTGTCATAAGGAAATCGGATATGGGTCGCATTTGGGCAAAAAGATCGGATTTGAGTCACTTCACCCTGCAGTGTGAACGTGGTCTAAGCTACAGCTGCAGGTCAAGGCTCTGCTCTGTATGATTATCTGTGTTTAAGTGTATCATCTTGCGCCCCTTGCGCTGCCCCACGGCTCTGCCGTGCATTTAATTGCTCCACTTTC